TTTCTAATCACTTGGGTCCCACTACAAAAACAAAACAACACAACATAGGGTAAATACATTATCGGGACGGCTAACAATCATCGGACATTTTTCTCTGTTCATTACCTTGAAGAGCATAATGTACTCCCCCAATTCATTTTAAACAAAAAACCTTTAGAATGTAATTAATGGAAGTTCTCACTACTGTGGATTGAATAGTTTTTATATGTTGCCTTACCAGTTTGCTTAAAGGGGCAATGTCTTTCCTTATTCTCAACCTTTACAAAATATTGTACAGAGAACATGCTTAAAGAGTGTATAATCCCAGTACTTAAGAGGCTGAGGCAGGTGGACTGCTTGAGCCCAGAAGTTTGAGACCAGCCAGTGCAACACAGCGAGACCTGTCTCAACAAAAAATTTAAAAATTATCTGGGTGTGGTGGTGTGAACCTGTAGTTCTAGCTACTAGGGAGGCTGAGATGGGAGGATTGCTTGAGCCTAAGAGAGCAAGGTTGCAGTGAGCTGAGATAGCACCACCACACTCCAGACTGAGCAATGGAGCAACACCCTGTCTTGCAAGAAAGAAAAAGGAGTGTGTCACTTATAACATTCAGACTCAGCTCATAAAATCCAAAAGAAAGTGGAGTTTTGAGAGTGCTAAAATGCACCACTGAGGGAACAACTAGAAAATGTGGAAAATCTTTCTCTTTTTGTTCTATCATTGTACACTATAGCTACTGGTGATAGTATTAAGGCGTATTTTACAATTCATATTTGGATTTGATCACAGGGCTCATACTCTCTTATCTTCTCCTCTCACAAGTTTTACCATAAGAGTTTTGTGGTAGTTTGAGGAACTCAACATAGCTGCAAGTATTTCGCTGGAATCTACTATGATCTGTGTCACTTGAGGCACAGTATGAGCTCATGTCATTCCTTGGATGACATGCACCCCTCGCCTAGGTTAGTATTCCCACACTTAGTCATCCTGAAATTCGCTCAGCTACCTCCAGTGGAGTGGGCTCCAATCTCAATGGCATCTCACTAGCTCCCCGGTCACATTGCCCATTTGCAGTGATGGTATTTATAAAAGGTGATTTCTTTTGTCGGGGTCTGCACCACTATAAAATTAGTCTTTCGAACCAGAAATTTCAACAGCTAAGCTACTTTAAAAAGTGTGTCTGCTGCTACTCCAAGTAGCCAACTGTGGAACTGGCTTCTGATTTTAAAATATAAGTGAAAGATGTGCCATGGTTTCCTCTGCAGAATGTTCAGATCAGAAGGTCCCTGGAAGACCGTGCGTGAAACGCGGCTAAGGCACCACGAAGCTGAACAGAAAACGGGGCCTTATCAGAGAGAAGGGAAGGGCCCCACAGTCCAAACGCCCAAGAGGCGCCGCCCTGACCCATGGCGGCACGTGTTTGCTGCAGGACGAGAATCTGGGGAAGACTCAGTGAAGAAAATGGCCTGGGCAGGCCAGGAAGAGCAGTACCCAGAGACCCGCAGCAGAGAGAGGAATAGGGGGACCCTGCCCCGGGAACCACCCCGGCTGAGGCTCAGGAGGGGAGCTGCGAAGCCTGAAACACATCGATGATGGCTGGTGATGAAAACATGCGGGTGGACCTGCTTTGATAGCGAGATGGACAGGTCTGAGCTCACACATCCTCGGGATAACAAATAAAACCCTGTGGAAATGAACATGAGATACTGGGCCTCATTCCCCAACCTGTAGAGATGACTGAGAAAGGCTTCCAGAAACTCGAGGACGTTACAACTTCCAGCTGGGTCAAACTTCTCAGGGTGCTGTGAGGCCAGGGTAGAGACACGCCCTGTGTGTCCCAGGGATGACGGAGTCTCTGGAGCATGGAGACACCGTGAAGATGGGGATGGAAGCTGCCCGCCCCACGGAGAGGGGAGCGGGGCCGGCCACGTCTCTCCCCACGAACAAAAACCATGAGGTACCTGAGAGGAGCACAGAAAAGAACACAGCCCTCACACACCTCAGGACACACACACACACAACCCTCACACACCTCAGGATACACACACGCAACACCCTCACACACCTCAAGACACACACACACAACCCTCACACACCTCAGGACACACACACACAACACCCTCACACACCTCAGGACACACACACACACACAACCCTCACACACCTCAGGACACACACACACAACACCCTCACACACCTCAAGACACACACACACAACCCTCACACACCTCAGGACACACACACACAGCCCTCACACACCTCAGGACACACACACACAACACCCTCACACACCTCAGGACACACACACACACACACAACCCTCACACACCTCAGGACACACACACACACAACCCTCACACACCTCAAGACACACACACACAACCCTCACACACCTCAAGACACACACACACACACACAACCCTCACACACCTCAAGACACACACACACAACCCTCACACACCTCAGGATACACACACACAACCCTCACACACCTCAAGACACACACACACAACCCTCACACACCTCAGGACACACACACACACAACCCTCACACACCTCAAGACACACACACACAACCCTCACACACCTCAGGATACACACACACAACCCTCACACACCTCAAGACACACACACACACAACCCTCACACACCTCAGGACACACACACACAACCCTCACACACCTCAAGACACACACACAAACCCTCACACACCTCAGGATACACACACGCAACCCTCACACACCTCAAGACACACACACACACAACCCTCACACACCCCAGGATACACACACACACACACAACCCTCACACACCTCAAGACACACACACACAACCCTCACACACCTCAGGATACACACACGCAACCCTCACACACCTCAAGACACACACACACACAACCCTCACACACCTCAGGATACACACACACACACACAACCTCAACACCTCAGACACACACACCACACAACCCTCACACACCTCAGGAACACACACACAACCCTCACCACCTCAGACACACAAAACCCTCACACACCTCAGGATACACACACACACCAACCCTCACACACCTCAGGACACACACACACACCCTCACACACCTCAAGACACACACACACAGCCCTCACACACCTCAGGATACACACACACAACCCTCACACACAAGACACACACACACACAACCCTCACACACCTCAGGACACACACACACAACCCTCACACACCTCAGGATACACACATACAACCCTCACACACCTCAGGAAACACACACACAACCCTCACACACCTCAGGTCACACACACACAACCCTCACACACCTCAGGACACACACACCAACCCTCACAACCTCAGACACACACACACAACCTCACACACTCAGGACACACACACAAACCTCACACACCTCAGGACACACACACGCAACCCTCACACACCTCAGGACACACGCACACACACACCACCCTCACACACCTCAGGATACACACACGCAACCCTCACACACCTCAAGACACACACACACAACCCTCACACACCTCAGGTCACACACACACAACCCTCACACACCTCAGGACACACACACACACAACCCTCACACACCTCAGGACACACACACACAACCCTCACACACCTCAGGAAACACACACACAACCCTCACACACCTCAGGTCACACACACAACCCTCACACACCTCAGGACACACACACAACCCTCACACACCTCAGGACACACACACACACAACCCTCACACACCTCAGGAAACACACACACAACCCTCACACACCTCAGGTCACACACACACAACCCTCACACACCTCAGGACACACACACACAACCCTCACACACCTCAGGTCACACACAACTCTCACATACCTCAGGACACACACACACAACCCTCACACACCGCAAGACACACAACCCCTCACACACTTCAGGACACACACAACCCTCACACATCTCAGGACACACACAACCCTCACACACCTCAGGACACACACACAACTCACACACCTCAGGACACACACAACCCTCACACACCTCAGGACACGCACACACACAACCCTCACACACCTCAGGACACACACAACCCTCACACACCTCAGGACACACACAAACAACCCTCACACACCTCAGGTCACACACACACACACAACCCTCACCTCAGGACACACACAACCCTCACACACCTGAGGACACACACACACAACCCTCACGCACCTCAGGACACACACACACAAACCCTCACACACCTCAAGTCTCACACACACACACACACAACCCTCACACACCTCAGGACACACAACCCCTCATACACCTCAGGACACACAATCCCTCACACACTTCAGGACACACACAACCCTCACACACCTCAAGACACACACACAAACCTCACACACCTCAGGACACACACACAATCCTCACACACTTCAGGAGACACACACAATCCTCATACACCTCAGGATACACAACCCTCACACACCTCAGGACACAAACACAACCCTCACACACCTCAGGGACTCACAGAACCCTCACACACCTCAGGACACACACACAACCCCTCACACACCTCAGGATACACACAACCCTCATCTTGGGACAAACTCACACTTCACACACCTCAGGACACACACACAACTCACACATCTCAGGACACACACAACCCTCACACACCTCAGGACACACACACAATCCTCACACACCTCAGGACACACAACCCCTCACACACATCAGGACACACACACAATCCTCATACACCTCAGGACACACAACCCCTCACACACATCAGGACACACACACAATCCTCACACACATCAGGACACACACAACCCTCACACACATCAGGACACACACACAATCCTCACACACGTCAGGACACACAACCCCTCACACACCTCAGGACACACACACAATCCTCACACACCTCAGGACACACAACCCCTCACACACATCGGGACACACACACAACCTCTCACACACCTGAGGACCCACACTCCCACAATTAGAATGACGCGCAGGGACAAAAGTGCCTCTGTTTCCTCTTTGTGGTAGTTTCTTCATTCATTCACGATGTCGGTGTTTACTGCCTATTGCACGCCAGTGGCTTGCAGAACTATCCGGGTGACACGCAGCACGAGCAGCCTCAGGGGAGCCCCAGGCGTGTTTTCCACAGGCAGCACGTGGATGAGAAGGACGGCCAGGGCTTAACAGGAACGTGGACTGTCGCTTGCTCCTCACTATCTTCTCTATCACAAAAATCACACGACAATTCAGATGGAGATGCATTTTGTGAAATGATGAAAATTTGAATCCTGTCTCCTATTTAGACTCACGTATATTATTTTCCCTTCATAAAAATGTTTTTTCTAGTAAATAATTTGACATCCAAACAAAGTTTATATTTCTGAAGAATGTATGCTCAGAGAAATGAGCTCTTACTACACGTTGCATATTGAAGACCTGATATTAAACACATGGCTTTTGTCAATGAGAAGGAGCAGTTTGACTCTTTCCAATGTCCTTTGTGGATGGATGGACTCCACTGACGAGCTTCTTTGTTCGAATTGCAGGTTTGGGATGTTTAATTATTGTCTCAGCTGGTCCAGTGGTGATGCTGAGTGAGACGCTCATGCCCCTTTAAGACAGAAAGTCCGTTGGAACCGTCTGCTGCTCCCTGGTCTCCGGAGATGAGGCGGGAGGACTTGGGGACAGCTGTGGGGACACGGCCCAGATGATCCGGTCCCGGCAGAAGTGACTGGGGGGGATCAGGTGAGGTGAGAGGTCTGGTGTTGGGGCTGAGGGAAGGGGTCTTTCCCGGACTGAGGGGGTCACGAGTTTGGGGTCGAGGACACTGGGGTATCCCCTCGGAGGAGCAGAAAAGAAGGTGCTTTCTCAGGGCTGTGAGGACCGTGGACCCCCGCCCACTTCCACAGAAACTGTCCCAGTCCCCGCGGGGAGGGAACGGCCAGGGATCCGCTTACTGGTAGGTCTTGCTCTTGACCTTCGATTCGCTTCCATCAGGAGACTCTTTTAAACAGCATTTCTGCGATCACTGTGGTTAAACTGTTCATTCTCAGGTTTGTATACAGTGAGAAGTTTATGAATAAACAGTTGGGGTTTCGTTGGGGGCCACTCGCTTCCTAAAACTGAGAGAGTGAGGCAGGGGTGGGAGCGGCTTTCAGAGAGGACCCTGCGGGCTTGCAGGAAGCTTTGCGTTTTCTCTTTTGTTTTAGTTTTCTGATTGCTGTGAGCTTCCTAGAACTGGCATAAATGCTGTACCTATAAAAAGGGGTTTCCTTTCCGCGTCTTCACCACGAATTCACAAAAGACATCTGATGGTTCAAGACTTAGACTCAACACAGTGGAGGGTCTGCCTGTGTCCTCCAATGGGTGCTGATCCAGTGGTGCCGGTTAAAGGACTGAGAATTCCCTCAGGGTCGCACGTGACCATCCACTCACATCACGCTCACACTCGCGACCATTCCAGTCACATCTGCTCACACCTATTCACATTCCACTCACACCCGCTCACACCCCACTTACATCCCACTCACACCTGTGACCATTCCACTCACATCCCACTCACACCCGCTCACACCCCACTCCATCCTACTCACATCGCACTCACACTCGCGACCATTCCACTCACATCTTGCTCACACCCATTCACATTCCACTCACACCCGCTCACACCCCACTCACATCCCACTCACACCCATGACCATTCCACTCACATCCCACTCATACCCCGAGACCTTCCTGCTCACATCTGGTCACACCCATTCACATTCCCCTCACACTTGCTCACACCCCACTCACATCCTACTCACATCCCACTCACACCCACTCACACCTACTCACACCCCATTCGCATCCCACTCACATCCCACTCACACCAGCTCACACCCTGCTCACACCCTTCTCTGGATGACCAGAGTGCATTAAGTGTCAGGCTGATCTAAGATCTAAAGCATTTTCCACGGAGGATGGTGGAGAGCCAGGTGTGGACGGCTCAGTCCCTCCGTCTGTGGATGGTGAGAGTGTGTTAGGTGTCAGGCTGATCTTCTAGGAACTGAAGTGTTTTCCGTGGAGGATGGTGGAGAGCCAGGTGTGGACGGCTCAGTCCCTCCATCCGTAGTGTCCTTTCACCTGGTCAGCTTCGGGCTTGGGAATGTGCACAGGACCCCAGGGGAGAAGAGCAGCTGTGGTTCCTGCTTGCCCTTAGGTTGAGGCTGGGGCCTTCAGCCCACACTGAGTGGGTAAGGGGGGTTGCATTCAGATGTCGCCATAGCTCTTCCCTTCCCAGCCAGGATGCTGGAGGGTCAGCTCGAGGTCGGGGAGCCCGAGGAGGGCACCCACCCAGAAGACCCATGCCTGGGAGCTGGGGCTGCCATGGAGAAGACAGCTGCGGCCGCCGAGGTCCCCAGGGAGGATGGCAACGCCGGGGAGATGCCGGTGAGCTGACCTCTGTGGGTCCAGAGTTAGTCCCACCAGGCGGGACCCTGATTCCTGTCCCTGAGGGCTGTCATTGGACTTTCCCCTCACCGGACCCCTGTAGGAATGAGCCACCCTGGGACGCTGATGCTGAACTTCCTCTCCGAGGGGCACGTGGCTCTCTTCCTCTCTGCAACCTTCTCTCTTAGTGGATGGGAGACAGGATGGGGAGTTAAAGAAAATATTAACATTCCAGCTTTTCTCCTCTAATCCAGGAGAAGGCACCAGGCTTTAAAAACTTCATTAACGAAAATCAGAAGGTTGACATGCCTCACACCATCCCAGCAAGTACCTTCCTCACCGGACCCTGTTGGACAGTGCTTGCTCTGATGAAAGTGCCACGGGTCCTTGTGGTCAGGGCCACACAGTGCAGGGCTCACGATTCCATTTATTCTCAGAACCAGGCTGGAGGTTCTATGGTCCGATCAATACCAGCCTGGCCAACATGGCAAAACCTCATCTCTACGAATAATACAAAAATTAGACAGGTGTGGTGCTGCACACCTGTAATCCCAGCTACTGAGGATGCTGAGGCACAAGAATTGCTTGAACCTGGGAAGTGGAGTTTGCAGTAAGCTGAAATCACGCCACTGCACTCCAGCATGGTTGACAGAGCAGGACCATGTCTTAAAAAAAAAAAAAAAAAAAAAAAAAAAGATGTTGAAACCCCATGTCTACTAAAATACAAAAATTAGCCAAGTGTGGTGGTGCATGCCTGTAGTCCCATCTATTAGGGAGGCTGAGGCAACAGAATCACTTGAGCTCATGAATTTGAAGCTTCAGTGAGCTGAGATCATGCCACTGCACTCCAGCCTGGGTGACTGAGTGAGACCTTGCCTCAAAAAAAATAAAAATAAAAATAAAAGAAAGAAAGAAAGGAAAAGAAAGGAAAAGGCTGCGGTAGTCCTGTTTATCTCATCGGGTGTCTTTCTGTCCGGAAAGATGTTGGTCTTACACCAGAGAGGGCTTGAGTATTTTGCAGATAAATGTACCCATTGTGATGTCTGAGAGGTTTTCTGTTGTTGTCTTCCCAATAACAGCCATTACAACAGCAGATCACCAGACTCCACCAAGAGCTCGGGAGACAGGAGTCTCTGTGGGCTGATGTTCACAGAAAACTCCAGAATCATATAGATGCTTTGAGGAAGCAGAACCTGGAGCTCCGAGAAGAGCTGAGAGATCTGAAGAGGCAGCAATGGGAAGCCAGGAAGAAACCTGTAGCACGCCCACACGCAGGGCGAGAATCACACACTCTGGTACCAAAAGTGCATTTGTGTTTTTGTGTTGTTTGCATTATGTAAAAATAGTGTCCCCGTAAAGATGTGGGCTTTATCGCTGGGTGACGTGGTATCACACACGCTCCAGGTGGTGGGGGGTTCCCTATCTTTCCATCATCTCCGTTTCCCATAAGTAATGATTAAAGAACTGGATACATCAGGCCTCTCAGCTGGAGCTCCAGCAGACAGAAGCACAGCTGCCTCCAGGCTGCATGTCTCATGTCTAGAATTCTAAGACATCTCATGATGCCTCAGGACAACAGCAGCAGACCCTTACTGTGGACTTTACATGGGCTAGGTAGGGAGCTTTACCGTCTTACTCTCTACGACGACCCTATGAAGTGGATATTATTACTAACTCCATCACAGTCATGGGCTGGAGAATGCAGAGCTGGGATTCGAACCCAGACTGACTCCAGAGCCAGCTCAGGGGGTGTCCTTCTGTTCATCCACTAGGACAGCTGTGTAGAATGCAATAGAGACCTGTTGAAATGGGAAAAGTTCCCTTGTACTCCTCACAGGGTGTGCGATGGGGGTGTGGCTAGCTTCCTCAGTGTCCCACTGCTCAAACCTCCAGGGGAGCGTAGAGACCGGCAGACTGTGCAGCTCCAACCCCACGGCAGTGTCTCGGGGTGAATGTTTACAGCTGAAGCCCCAGTGGGCGTGTGTTACAGGGCGCTCTTTCAGTTTAGCTGTCTGTAGGCGGCTTGTGTTTATCAGCTCAGTTAGACCCTCTGCCCTATCACTAGGACAGAGGCTTTCTGTATCCTGGGTTCTTGCCTTGGTGGACCTGAAAAAAACAGATCACACGTGGGCTTGGAGGATGGGTGCAAGGTTTTGTATTGGGTGATGGTAGCTCTCAGCAGACGGGGGAACCAGAATGGAGATGGAGTGGGAAGGTGGTTTTCCCATGGAGTTGGGCTATCCAGTGGCCGTGCTCTCCTCTGACTGCGCTGACCAATCTCGGTGTCTTCAGCCAGTCAATGGCTTGCTGGCATCTGCCAATGTGTTCCTCTGGATGCCAGCCACTTGTGTCTCTGCCCGCTAGGGTCTTGGGGATTTTATAGGCACAAAATGGGAGTGTGGCAGGCCAGGGTGGTCTTGGGAAATGCAACATTTGGGCACGAAAGCAGAAATGCCTAGGTCCGTGGGCACACGCCCGGGGGTGGAGCCCTAGCCAGGGACCTGCCCTTCTCTACCCAGGACTTTCCTGCCCCCATCCTGTGTCACTGCCCTGCTCTCTCCCAAACGAAGAATCAGCATTATCGCGCTGAAGTAGTCAGTGCCTCCCAGCACCCGCTGCCTTCATAGAACCCTGAGCTTTCGAGCTTGATCACATGTGGCTCAAAGACCGAGCCTAAGACAGTGTGAATGTGGCCAGTGTTACCACTGCCTTGTCTGGGCTCTGTTTCCCGCGCATGGGTCTAAACAGCTTGAATAATTAAAATTATACGCACAGGTAACGACACATGGAACCATGTGAACAGCCTCCAAATGTAAGTGGAGATGTTTCTCAGTGGGTTAAGAAAAGTACTAACATTTCCTATCCGCACTTATGGTGTGAACTTTTAAATCGGTACTTCCAGGACTTAGAATAGTTCCTATACGGCACAGTGATTACAACACATGCACACACACACTCACTCTCTCACACACATACACACACACATACACACTCACACATACACGCACACACACATACACACACACATACACACACACACATACACACACACATACACACATACACACACACACACACACACACACATACACACACATACACACACACATACACACACATACACACACACACACATACACACACACACACACATACACACACACACATACACACACACATACACACACATACACACACACATACACACACACACACGCACACACACACACAGAGGCACCCACGGAATACATTCCAGAGGAGCTTGCTCTGTGGTCGGTTCTCCCAGCATGGCAAGAACAGCCACAAATTCCTCTACAAGAAATTACGGGAAATCTTGGAAGTTACTCCCACTCTTCGGGAGCTCTGCGAGAGCTTTTTCTCCATGGAGATGGCTTCTGTTGCCTCAGAAAGAAAGCGGGTTTAGCCTCTCAGCACAGCAAAGCACCCAGTCCTTTGGTAGAAGGAAGAGTGGAAGCCAGTCAGGCTGTTCCTCCGTCAGAGGTAGAGAGGGGGAAATTGCCACAAATACTGGCCGGGATTGTTTGCCTTCTGTGGGGAGACCCCGAAAAGACCCACAGGGATACTTTTCCCTGCGTATACTGTATGCCAGTTCCTAAAAAATAGCATCGACTGCCCCATTTGCATCATTGTATGTTGGCCGAAATGTTACCATAACAATAACCCCAAGAGTCAATGAAGTCTCATTCTGTCTTCACACTCCCTGCAGTTTTGATCATTCTCTTATTTCGAGATTAGAGTTTGGTGAATTTCCAAATGTTTTTGATTCTGTGCATTGTACTGGCCACCACGGGGCTGTTTATGAGAAGAGGATCTATGCTCACAAGAGCAGACCTGATGTGAAGAAAGAGGACGGGACATGTGAATCCCACACTTCAAATATGCGTAGGTGTATCTGTGTAGTTGCAGTTTTAGGGACTGAGTATCTAAAAGGCTGAGGCACGAGCACCCACGGAACGCGGGCACGGCTGTGTGGGTGAGCCACTCCGGATCTGGTATTAAGGGTTCATTCATAGCAACCGTCTCCCCTTCTCACTCCCTCCTCCTCCTCAGAGGGGACAGCGGGGGATAATTAGACATTCCAGACCGAACACACCTCCTCCCACCTGAAGGATCATGCTGTTCAGGTCAGTCTGCTGGTAACAGGGAAAGTTGGGAATTTGCATTTCGAATCTTAGACAAGTTGTAGAGACAACACCAGAATGAGCATCACACTTTCCTCCTCCGTTACCACATTCCCCGTTGAAGACACAGGAGCCTAAAGGACGATACGTTGGGTATTGTGTATTCTGTGGCCTTTGGGAGCCTGTGATCATTTTGAAACAGGGAACCACAATAAGAAACACAAGGCAAACATGGGCTCCGCAAAGGTTCCTTCACAAACACTGGGTGAGGGTTTGTGTTCTTATCAACATGTTAGGGGGAAAACCCAGTCCAAGTCCCCCCACCTTGTACCCTAATATTTTCTAGGACAGTCCAGTTATTTTTGATTGTATTAAAATTTGAATTTATTTTCCCTTTGAAAATGTGAACATTTTCCCTGCATTTTGTCTTTTAGGCATGGGAACTCGCTTTTGGAAAAATTTCACCTCTGCCAGTTGATGAGGAGACGATGCCCAAATACATTTGCCACAAGAGTCAGAGTGCCACTGTCCTGGGACAAAGGTCGTCATCTAACAACTTAACTCCTCCAAAGGTGACCCTTGGTGCTTATCATCTATAAAGAGCAGCAGAGGTTCTGGACGCAAACACACACACCCCGTCAGCTCCTCACCACACAATCTCACCTCCCTGGGCGAGCATGGTGCTCCCTGGAGTCCCGCGTTCTTCAAAGGACCCGGGTGCGTGCCTTTCAAACAAGATCCTAACCCACAGCACTTCCGCTGTAGAGCACATTCCAAGTCCTCCCAGCGGCTTCCCTCTGAGCACACTCACAGCAGCAAGTGTCTGGCTGGGGCCAAGTGGACTCGGAGCTTTGTTTCCGTGGATGCCACCCATGGAGGTGACATGCATGGTGCTCTCTCCACACGCCATGGCCCATGTGTCTTGGGGCTCACATCACCCCACACTCCCTGCTTCTGCACTGCGGTCTTGCACCTGCTGCTTGTCAGCGTGGACCCCTCGGAACGGGAGCTGTGCTGCTTGCTTGGGGGCCACAGTGCAGGATGCTATTTTGTCTCTATCACATTTTTCCTTGTTAAAATTAGCTCCTCTTTAGAACATTCTGCTGGTGGCCATTGTGTCTCTTGTTGTCCCAGCTTTGTGTCACCCTCACACTCGGGAGGCAAACTTGTGAGTCCTCAGCCAGCAGCTGAAACTGGGTTGATGTGGATGGAGAAGACGGCCCCCCAACTCCTGAAGATGATTTATCCCCTCGCATTCTTTCCCAAAGCAACTGCTGAGCAGATAATACTTTATTCCCTGAAGGAAGATCAGAAATCTACTCCAAGCATTTGTCACAAGTAGGAAAATAGCCTTTTCAGATCCTAAGAGTACAAAACGTCGAAAGTCCCAGGATAGACTGCATAGGTCCAGCCTCCTGTGAGACACGGACTCCTCTCACACTCCCTCATTGACCTGAGTTAATCACACGTGTGCCGGGCAATGTACGAGTAAATAGATAACTGAATGGGTGGCTTATCCATGCCTCGAAACCATGAATTTTTAAACAGCAGAAAAGGTAGAACATTATTTTCATTATGCATTTTTGAATTGAGTTTCAAACACTTTATTTCACTGTTGACTTTATTCTACAATATCAGCCATACAGTTCCTGAATTCCTCAAGAGCGTGGAATGTAAAGTGTATAGTGTAAAATGTAAAATGGGGAATGAGAGACACCAAGTGTGGATGCCTCGTGTGTCCTTCTGTAGGAAACAGGGATAGAATCATCTAGATTCTGTGGTAGCTGGTGTGATGTGTTGCTTAACATTTTAAAATAATATGATGGTTACTAATGCAAAAATATTCCCACATTTATTTTCAGGCAATGAGTTTAAAGACAGAAAGAATTAACTTGGGGAAAACACCACCACAGGAAGATAGAGAGAAAGGTCCTCCCGGGAGACATCAAGACGGAAGTCCGACACCCACTGGAAGGCCGACTTCCGGTGCAGAAAGATGGGGGGTGTCTGAAGATGGAAAGGTGACCTCGGAAACCTGGGTCCCTCTACACTGGCTGCATGGAAAATTCAGATTCAGATAAACTTCCACTTAGGTCTATTAAGAGTACTCAATTTGTTATTCAAAATAGACCTAGTATTAACCTAATTATGTTTTTATTTACGTATTAATATAAATTTATTAATAAATAAATAAATAACATTATTTATTAACCTAAATATGTTTCTATAGATAAAACCTTGAATTTCTTCAGACATGTCTTTAATGCTAAAAAACTGAACAACTTGAATTGGGTTTGAAAAATCAATTGCTTTCCCGAGCTCTGGAGTAGGTATATTTCTGCAGAGTCTTTAAAATAATTGGCTGGGTGCGGTGGCTCAAGTCTGTAATCCCAGAGCACTTTGGGAGGCCGAGACGGGTGGATCATGAGGTCAGGAGATCGAGACCACCCTGGCTAACACAGTGAAACCCCGTCTCTACTAAAAAATACAAAAAACTAGCCAGGCGAGGTGGCGGGCGCCTGTAGTCCCAGCTACTCGGGAGGCGGAGGCAGGAGAATGGCGTAAGCCCAGGAGGTGGAGCTTGCAGTGAGCCGAGATCCAGCCACTGCACTCCAGCCTGGGCAACAGAGCAAGACTCCATCTCAAAAAATAATAATAATAATAATTGACCTACCTTGTAGTGTGGAGTGCAGGGCTGTTGGGTGAGCCCTGGGGTTCTTGCTGGAAATTGTGGATGGCTGAAGATGGCTTCATGCTCCCAGCCTTTGGGTTGGAGGCATTGCTGGCTGCAGGGACCTTGTAACAAGGGGGGCCTCTGACTGTCATTGCCCAGGTAATGCACCCATCTTCCCGAAGTCCACAGAACTCCAGTGGCAGAAAATCACCAGTGCAGGCTTCCCAGGCCGCCACACTGCAGGAGCAGACGGCAGCAGCTGGAGGAGCTGGTGAGCAGGGTCGGGGACTCCTAACTGTTTCCATGCTTCCTGTAAAACGCAGGGCTTTCTTGTCGATCCGCGTGAGTAGAACATCCTACCACAGCAAGGACATGTCCTTCTTGGAGCTGCCTAATTTCTGGCCACCTTTTGTCTGATTCCCTCATTGGGTCCTCACCTGGGAGTCTTGCCGACACCCCCAACTTCACCCCACACACAGCCCACATGCTGGTCTCCAGGGCCTGTGGCTGGAGATTCCGAATCCTACTGGCCGCTTCCCCCTGAGCACACTCCTAGCAGAAGGCTGGGCCTGGGAGGCCTCAGGGGCTTTGTTCCCTTTTCTCCGATTGCCTGCGCATGGCATTGCTGCCACCCTGATGGAGTGCCCTCTCATCTGGCACCTGCCTGGCCTCTTCCCAAGCCCCAGCTCTGTCCATGCAGCTGTGGGTGCTTTCTGCATCAGGGGTCCCAGCAGGAGGAGCCAAGAGTGCCCCTGGGAGAGTTGGGAAAGAATTCCTTCCTCACGTTGCTGCCAGAAAATGGCCATAGCAGCTTCACGAATCCCGCAGGAACCTATCTTGGTAAAGAAACAGAGGCCTCATAGTGGGCAAGCCTCAGGTGTGGTCCTTATGCACAACACAGCCCAACCCCGTGGGCACCACTCCCCCTGGGCTGCCTGGCACCTGGACTCCTTCCCATCCTTGGCCCAGGCCTGTGTGGCCCTGCAGGGCAGAGCCCAACCCTGTTTTCCTTCTGGGTCTGCTCCCCAGGCCTCCTGTCCCCCAGGCTGCTTCATGGCCTCTGCAGGGAGCTTCGCAGAGGTGAGGCTGGGGTCATCTGTCTGCTTCAGACCACCCCAGGCTCTGTGTGCCCTCACAGTGCCCTCTGCACTCCTCTGCAGGGCAGGGAAGCCCTTCCCATTGGGTCTGCACCAGCCTGGCCACCTTGTTCCTGCTGCCCCTTTCCCTTCAGGCCCCCGGACAAGATGTCAGTTTACTTGCAGGTGCCGGGCAGAACGGGAGGCCTTGTCTCCCACACACCTGCTGGCACCTCCGCAACCTCCAGGCATCATCTCAGCTGCCAGTGAGGCCATCCTGGGGAAGCCCCCGCTGATCCCTGGCTCTCCTGGAAGCCTGTGATTCTCCTTCACCACGGCCCTGTCCCTTCATAGGTCCCGTAAGCCAATGGCACAGGGATCCGGCTTTTCTCTCCTGTGTCTGCCTCCCGCAGTACCGGGAGAAGCTTCAGGGCCGAGGCAGTGCCTTTCCATCCATGAATCACCTGATCCATCAGAATACTCGAAAGAAAGCGAAGCCCAAGAAATACTGACTGAGTGTATTCATTAAAGAAGTAATGTTCCTTACAGGATCACCTGTTGTTGAACTGATCTGACATGTGTATGGTGATCTCATGAACAAGAGAGAGCCTGTTCACCCATTCACTTAAATTGGATTTAGCAATTGCATTAGGATAATGATATTTCCACAATGTATATGCACTGGCCTTCTAAATTTAACTTATTTGCTTTTTAGACAGAAGCTCATCAGTCTTAGAGAGTTCCGAAGGTGTATTTCTCAGCCACGTTGAAGCTGATGAGTTGACCGGTTCTTCCCCAAACATTGAAGAGCTGCAGGTAGGTGAGCTGAGTGGCTTCTGCAAGGGTGGCCGGCCCAGCTCCCCTCAGGGAGACCTGAGAAGATGACCTTTTCGTCCTGGGGAAGTGAGATTCAGAGCGGGTGTCAAGAGAAGGTTGCATCTTCCCATCTTCTCGACAAGAACAGAAAATTAAGTTGATTCCAAATGTCTATTTCCTGAGGTTCAGCCTTTCAAAGACAGACTATTTTTTAAAGCTTTAAGTTGGTTGCATTTAGCACATAATCAAACAAGATGAATATTTTTCATGACTTATGAGTTCCCCATGTCAAAATTTCATTTTTTATCATTTTGATTTACAGTTCTCAGTTGACATTAATAGACCCGAAGGCAAGAATAGCAAGCATACTTCTAAGCCCTAGCTAGTGGTCTACTTGTAACATGCTATATTTTACCAAAAAAAAGTCAACAAAATAAAATTATTTTCTCTACGGCAGGAAATTGGGCTGTGAACTTACATGTGATGTAAAAGTAGGCACCTGGCGGGGAAGTCTCAGAACACAGGTCCCGCTTGTTTTCTGTTCTCCTGTGAAAAGCCCACATTCTGTTCTGCCCTTTCCGACATCTTCAGTTTGGGGACGAGTATGAACATCTTTTTGTTTTGTTTGGGAGTCCAGCTAATGAGTTCACCTGGAAGCCTCAGGGCCAATGATCTGCATTTAGAAAGCGCGCAGCCACAGCAGGTGGTGTCTGTGTGCTGTTTGTATCAGGTGTTGAATGGGGCAGTTGTGACTGTGGCCACCCTGACCCCAGGGCAAACATACAAGTAGGAGATAAGCACTTTAATAAAACACAAAACATGGTCGAAAGTCCTGGTGCTGACTGTCTGGGACTCAGCCACGCCCACCGACTTAGAGGCAGAGGCTGCAAAATGCCAGGGCGAGGTGCATTTCTCCCACCTCATACTGCAGTGTTCATAGAGACCACGGGAGACTAGGATTATGCTCTTTCTGCAGAATCTTCCTGTAAACCCACCACCTTCCCTAGAAACAGCACAGCCCATGGACACTAAGATGAAAAAGGAGGAAGTACAGGAAGAAAAACGACATCCAAATGGCAAGGGTCCAGTTTCCCTGAGTCAATTTCCAGGAGCTTGCATGCTGCTCCCTCCAGACAGGCCACGGGGCGCTGACCTGGAGGCCAGACGTTTCCAGCATTGTTGACTGCCAGTTTATTTCCAGTAAATAAAGCAATACACTTTTCAGGAGGAAAATTTGTTTGTTTTAAATACTTAAAAATTCCCCAAAACTATGGCCTCAAGTATCTTCCAGCCACCACATTTTAGCCCTTGAGGAGAGCTCAGTTCCGGAAGGACACGTCAAGGTGGCGGTAGGCAGCATTGACTCAGGAAGGGGTCAGAAGAGGCACCGGCTGCAGCTGCAGCCACGGTGTTTTGTGAGTTTCGAGGAGACCCAGTCCTGCTTGGGGCAGCACATCATTGCTTCTTCTTCAGCTCAACAGGTGGTTCATCTAACGCCTCTTGTTGGCCTGTGAGAAACTGGAAGTCGGCCTCATGCTTGCTTTGCCGAGTGAACTCTGCCTCGGTAAAGGCGAGTTTATGTCCTGCAAGTGCATAAAGCATTTGGACAAGTGAGCAACAGGGAATGCTACTTGCAGTAACAGTTTGAATTCCCTGAAATGCTTTTGTCTTTAGTGCAGTCGCTGTAGTGGTTCGTCAGGGGAAAAGGAAACCCACATCATTTGAGTACCTGATCTTGCCGTCTCCATAGGTAGGTCCATGAGACATAAGTGATGTTCCTCCTTGGCTAAGTGCATGGAGGAATCAATCACTCAAGCTCATGAAACTGTAAAGGTGAGGACACAAGACCTAGGTAACGCGCTGTGCCCTCTGCTAGTGCCATCCTTCCTTTCTCCCCACAACCAACGGTCACCCACCTCTGTCTGCCCCCACGTCCATGGCTGCCCCACCCTCCCTCCCAGGTCTTCATCACATTTCTCTTCTCGTGACTCATCTTGCATCTACTTCTTGTGTATCTTGCATTGGATATGCCAAAATTCTTTCCCTTTTTGTATTTTGTTTCTTTTAATGATATAAACTCCAAAATAGATTGTATGATTCTTTTCATGTGGAACATTTTAAAAATTATTTGTGCTTTATTACTTCTGAGAGTAATTGATTCTTTAAACGATGCTGGAGTTTTTAGTGTCGGTTAAAAATTCACCTTCGGATACAGAACTGAACACATCCTTGCTTCATTCACCGAGTTGGTTTGAGAGTAGGTGAAGGAGTCGTCTTGGTTCAAACCCCATCAAATAGGAGGCTGCTGTCCCGGCCAGCAGGTGGTGCACACCGTCAAGGTTTGTTTGGTGGATGGTTGAAGACAGTTAAAGCAGCCAAGCATTCGCTTTTACTCCCTTTGTATTTTCTCAGCTGAATTGACGCCTATATTTCTGAGCTATGGTTAAGAGTGACAGTGCGATATAAATAACGAAAACACATTTTGTCATTTGGAATTTTCAAATGCACTTATCTTAACTCCCCAGATCTTGAGACTATTTCTCTCATATATTTTCTTTTGCTAATTTTCACATGAGTAATATTTTCAATGCGAAGACAAAGATATTCTTTTTACATTCCTTGTCCAGCATTATGCATATGAGGTTATATAATATTTGCTGATAGTTAATGAAAATCAATACATCTTTGGGATGGGCCGTAGGAGCGTATAGATCAGAAGAATGGGATGAAAAGGAAAGAAAAAGGTGCCAAGAGTAATTTTTACATAGTAATTACCACAATTCCTATGGCCCAGGATTCTAAACTCACCAAGTCACCAGCCATGGATGATCGAGACTGATGGCCACTGTGTGCACGAGCTCATGAAAGACGGATATTTGTGGGACAGATCGTAGCACTTATTCATTACTGATAACCACACTCAGGGATGGGAATTTGGACCTGATCTATTCCGTTAGTACAATCTGGGGGGAAATATCACAGCTGGTGTCTAGAATACCATGTAGGCGATAATCATATAACAATTCTGAATAGAAGAAAAATAATGAAACCACAATAATCAGACTTTACATCATTTTTCATCTTGGAGTTTTTGTGTTTCCATAAAGGTAGGACGGGCACCGAGCGAAAGTTGTGCCATCACCACCTTCCCCGACACCAGCCAGAAGGAGCCGAGCGCAGATAAGAAGATGACCGTCATCCGGTTTTCTAACGGCGACGTGAAGAAGGTCAAACCCGATCAGAGAGTGGTGTGTACAATGGATCTTGTTTTTTAAAGATCTGTCTTTTTTTAAAAGAAATCAAAACTAACTCAGTTATTAGGAATGACTCTGCACATCCATACCCCATCTCCTCTGTGTGTTCAGGATGGGGTGGGGGGGAATGGGCAGAGCACAGGCTGTGCAGTCGGGTGAACCTGTGTGTTAGCCTGGCTGTTCTGCTTCCTCGGTGCACTCAGGCAAGTGAGACTCTGTCATCAAGACCCTCCTATCTGCATGGTGACACAAGAGTGCACCAGCACCCCTCCTGGCTCTGAGTTCAGTCAGTATTTTCAGCTTTTCTAAACCTCTGCAAAATGTGGTTGATAATTACAACCTAACTCAACAGACGGTTATGAAAGTTAAGTAACAGTCCATTAAATAATGTCTCTTCTGCAGAACTCTCTAGAAACACAATGGTAAACACTTAGTAAATGTGCATTGATTGTAGAACTAGCATTAGTATTGCAACAAAGTTAGAGTCAGGAGCTAATCCCTGGTACAAGCTGGAGGTGAGATTCAGGGAGGTGAGATTCAGGGCTGTGACCCCCTGGTTCACACTACATGTCTCTGTGTGTCCAGGGATCACAGACAGAAAACACAGATGCTGAGGAGTCTGGAGGGTTTCCAGGCAATGTCTCCAGGGTGGCAATACTTTTGTCCAGATAATCCAGGGTATAACTTGATTCTCACTGAAGAAAACCTGGGTAATTTACAAAACAGATTGTAAATAAGATGAGATAAGGGAGGTTAGGGCAGGGCTTGTAGTGCATTGTGAATAGTCTCTTCGTACCCACACACTACCAAATTGTATTCTAAACATTTCCTTCTTTAGAATGATCAATTTCCCTGTTGTTAGCCAAGCTTTGGGTACAAATTTAGAGGCACAGGGTCCAGGAGTTCCGAGAGACTGCAGAGCGCATCTCTGGTTTTTGTGTTACTTGCTTTAATGAGAGGCGCCTACTTGTGGCTCTGTGATTTTATCCCACCTAAGCCTCTTGACCCTTCCTGAGGGTGGATGTTAGAAGCCCTGAGTGTGGACACAGGCGTGGTGTGCCCATCACGTGCTCTTCCACCTACCTGAACTAACTCGCATGCTCCCTTTTTTTCTCACGGGGAAATGCAAACAAGGAGAGCTTGGATGACCCCCTTTAGACGGTGGCCTGTGTTACATCACTGCCAGTGGGGGAATCTGTGATACTGATCTCATAGCCTGCCCCAGCCTTTCATTGTGAGGTCTGGGTTTCCGTCACTTTGGAGTAGGAAATAGCTGTTTCTTAGCCAGACATGCAGGTGTAGAGAGGCAGAGTGTGACAATATAAGAATTGATGAGGTGAGGATGAGTCAGCGGGAGAGAACAGGGCCTGGCACAGGCCTTGGAAGGACATCCTCCTGTTCCGACCTTTTGCGTGGTCAGAGGTAATGGCCACTGCAGGCCAGCGAGTGTGCACCTCCCCAGGTCTCCTGAGGGCACCTCCGTTCCCTTTGAACCTCTCTGGTCTCCAAAGGGAACCCCGACCCCAGCGAGGAGCCAGAGCTTGGACTTGATCATTATTGGAATGATGCAGAATTGAGCATTTGTGGCTTTCTTCTGACATTTGGACAAATTTCTCATGTGAGAAAAATGCCTTTAAAATAATGGCACAGAAATAGTCCCTTCGACTTCAGTGTGGTGGTTTTTCTAAATAAGTCACCACTCCTATTCTCTCCTGCCTTCTCTCAGCCTTTCTTTGACGGGCAGCGATGCTCTTGCCATGATAGATGCAGACACACAGTGACCTGCCAGGTCCCAGAGCTCGGGAGAGAGTGGATGCCTGTCCGTGGTCCCACTGCAAAATGAACATGTACATCTCACTGATGTCTACTTCTGGATCCTTAATTTTTTTTTTTTTTTTTTTTTTGAGACGGAGTCTCACTCTGTCGCCCGGGCTGGAGTGCAGTGGCGCGATCTTGGCTCACTGCAAGCTCCGCCTCCCAGGTTCACACCATTCTCCTGCCTCAGCCTCCAGAGTAGCTGGGACTACAGGCGCCTGCCACCATGCTCGGCTAATTTTTTGTATTTTTAGTAGAGACGGGGTTTCATCATGTTAGCCAGGATGGTCTCAATCTCCTGACCTGGTGATCCGCCCGCCTTGGCCTTCCAAAGTGCTGGGATTACAGGCATGAGCCACCACGCCAGGCCTGGATCCTTAATTTTTTAATAATTCCCCCTTCCCTACTTATGGTCAAGGCTGGCTTGACACAGATGACTGTCCTCTTCCAAAGCAGCTCTTCCCCTCTTCTTTTCCCCCACTTTATTGGAAACCAGAGGGTGTCACAATGATGGGAAACTTCACAGTAACATGACAATTCAAGAGGCATAACCCAGGGACAGTTGATGACTGGAGCATTTCTGCTGTTTGGAGCTGCTGGGAGACCCTTGGTCTGCGAGCTGTGAGGTTTGGGTCTTGGGGCTCCCCACTCATATTCACTATGCTGGACCTGGATCTCCTGCAGGCCCCCAAGGTTGCCAGGTCCAGCAAACTCTAGCTCAGAACCCACCAGGTGAAGGACTGGGAACTCCACCTCGGTCCAATCCTCTCTCCCACTAGCCTAGAGCCACAGTGTCTTGACTTCTGGGCTTGGGTAACAAGCCCTCTCCCCATGTCCCCTTGCCGTGGAGGGTGCCCATGGACAAGGTCAGCCCACTCCCACCTGCTGGGACAGTGCTTTTACCCACCTGCAGGAATGACTTTACTAGATTAAATCCAGGTTCAAAATGATAACACAGACTGCCTCCCAGCATAGGTGTTTCTGGTGCTTACAGATTTACTATCATGCAAATGCTCAGATGACGCGCACGACCTACCCTGATGGTTTGGAAGTTGTGCAGTTTCCTAACAAGCAGACAGGTGAGTGACATCACCAGGAACCCGCATGGGTAGGTGCCTTTGCATGTGAGTGTGTAGAGGTGTGGAGACTTGCAGGTTAGCAGACACTTGAGCCCTGTAGGCAAGTTCCCCACAGCAGCAGCTGTCCAGATAATTTGGGGCTTACCTTGCTTCATGCATGTTTTCCTGGTTCTTATCCAAGAGCTGTAAGCCTGCGGCTTCCGTGTGGGTGTGTAAGTGCACCCAGGTCTGGACGCCTCTGTAAACGCTCTCAGACCTCAGTTGGGGGCTTGTGTTTCAGCTTTTCTGGGTGGGCCTGGCTACATGGCTCGAGCAACAACCAAGATAAATGTTACTTATTCGCACAGTGCAGCCAGCTTATTGTCCTAAAAGCCACCACGTTCTTTCCCGAAGTCTCGCCTGGACTCTAAAATGCCATCCTCTGGGTAATCCCTGGGTCTCTTGGGAACTGGGCTGCACAGCAGGAGGTGAGCAAGCCAGGGAAGCTTTATCTGTATTTACAGCCACTCCCCATGCTCTGTTAGGCCTGAGCTCCGCCTCCTTCAGATCAGTGGCAGCATTCCATCCTCACAGGAGCGCGAATCCTACTGTGAACTGTGCACGTGAGGGATCTAGGTTGCGTGCTCCTTGTGAGAATCTAATGCCTGATGATCCATCACTGTCTCCCTTCACCCCCCCAGATGAGACCCTCTAGTTGCAGGAAAAGAAGCTCAGGGCAGCCGGGCACAGTGGCTCACGCCTGTAATCCCAGCACTTTGGACGGCTGAGGCAGGCAGATCACAAGGTCAGGAGTTTGAGACCAGCCTGGCCAACATAGTGAAACCCTATCTCTTCTTAAAAAAAAAAAAAAAAAAATACAAAAATTAGCCAGGCATGGTAGCAGGCACCTGTAATCTTAGCTACTCGGGAGGCTGAGGCAGGAGAATTGCCTGAATCTGGGAGGCAGAGGTTGCAGTGAGCTGATATCATGCCTTTGCACTCCAGCCTGGGTTACAGTGTGAGACTTCGTCTCAAAAAAAAAAAAAAAAAAAAAAAAAAAAAAAGTTCAGGACTGCTACTTGTTCTACATTGCGGTGAGTTGTATGATTATTTCATTATAATGTAATAATAATAGAAATAAAGTGCACAGTAAATTTAGTGCACTTGAATCATCCAACATTCGCACAACCCACACCCATGCCAGTCCATGGAAAAATTGTCTTCCACGAAACTGGTCCCTAGTGCCAAAAAGGTTGGGGACCACTGCATTAGATGAGAGAACTGTTTGGGCCAGGCGCAGTGGCTCACGCCTGTAATCCCAGTACTTTGGAGGGCTGAGGTGGGGGGATCACCTGATGTCAGGAGTTCGAGATCAGCCTGGCCAACATGGTGAAACCCCATCTCTACTAAAAATACAAAAATTAGCCGGATGCGGTGTCGTGCACCTGTCATCCCAGCTACTCAGGAGACTGGGGTTGGACAATCTCTTGAACACTGAAGGTGGAGGCTGCAGTGATCCTATATCGTGCCACTACACTCTGGCCTGGATGCAGAGTGAGACTCCATCTCAAAAAATAAAAATAAAAAATTCTAGTTTGGTGATGAACTTACTAATATTTATTTGTAATTTTTCTCTTTATTAGGAATTTGTTTCTTTTTAAAAATCCTTAACCAGTGACACATATTTTTATACCTTTAATGCTTTCTGCTTTAAGTCTATTAAATCTAATAGGTACAGCAGCTTTCTTTCAGTTAGTTAACATATGCCTGGTATATCTATATCTATTCTTTCTTTTGCTACTTCTAAATCTTTACCTTTAAATATGATCTTATAAGAAACAGACATTTAGAAAAATATATAATCTGAAAATAACTTTCCTTTTAACCTGAGGTTTTATTGCATGAACTGAAAATGTATCAGTATCCTAACTGTCCTCTACAACCAAATCAAGAGTCTTTTAGTTCTAATTCTCCTCCCCAGTCTTTCATGCCATTGTGTTGGCTTCTGCCAGGATTTTTACTCTAAGTTGTTTTCACCTCCAGTATTAGTTATGATTATCACTGTGGTGTTTATGTGGCCAGTGTTTACTTTAAACTTTTTAAATGTATGCAGAATTTGGGGCTTTTCTTTCTTGTATCTTGGGCTTTTCTTCTCTGCACCACTTCCTTCTACTTGACGAGCATGAAGAGATGGGGGCAATCAACCCTATCAATTTTGGCTCACCTGAAAATGTCCTTTGTTTTGCCTTGTTCACGAATGGTCGTTCGTCCTGATGCACCTTCTGACTCCTCATCCCGTAGCTATTCCATGGCCACTGTGCAGCAGGCATTGTTTTAGGGCTAGGGATTCAGCAGTGAGCAAATCTGTGAAAAGTTCTTATTTCATGACATTTTATTGGAGGGAAGCATAAAATAATCAGGTAAAAATAAAAATCAATATAAAATATCAGTCTGCATGAAAAGCTACCAAGACAAACAAGAGGGTAGAAAGCGGACAGGGAGTGTGCTGGGCTGCTGTCTTAGGGGCCGTTGAGGAGGGCCTCACTGAGAGGTGACATTTCAGGGAGCCATGAGTGATGTGAGAGAGGGAGCTGTGTGCATGTCAGGAAGAACATTCTAGAGTGAGAAAGAGCCGTGAAAAGTGTGGTGTGTCTGAGGAAGAGCAAGGAGGCCGGTGTGGCAGGGGTAGAGGAGATGAGGTCAAAGGGCCAGGACCAGGCTGTGTAGACCATTGTGGAGAAGCTGTTGGAGAATCTTGAGCAAGGGAATGACAGTGATTTTTCTCAGCATGTTGAGGACTTTATTCCAGGCCCACACGGTGTCTGCTGGAGGATCTGATGGTGGTCTAATTTCTCCCTTCAACTGTGATTTTTTTCCCTTGCTGCATTTAAGAGCTGTTCTATCTCCAGCTACATTATGATCTGTCTAGTTATGGATTTAACTTTGTTCATTGTATTAGGGATTTGTTGTGCCTTTTTTTTTTTTTTTTTTTTGAGACGCAGTCTCTGTCACCCAGGCTGGAGTGTAGTGGCGTGATCTCAGCTCACTGCAATTTCTGCCTCCCCAGTTCAAGTGATTCTTCTGCCTCAGCCTCCCAAGTAGCTGAGACGACAGGTGCATGCCACCATGCCTGACTAATTTTTTGTATTTTTAGTAGAGATGGAGTTTCACCATGTTAGCCAGGATGGTCTCGATCTCCTGATCTTGTGATCTGCCCGCCTCAGCCTCCCAAAGTGCTGGGATTACAGGTGTGAGCCACTGCAGCCAGCCTGTTGTGCATCTTAAATATAATCACCGTGTCTTTCATAAGCTAGGGTTGCCAGATTTAGCAAATAAAAATGCAGGATGCCCAGTTGAATTTGAATTTCAGGTAAACAATAAATGAATTTGTTTTTGTTATGAATAGGTTTCATTGAGTATGTGGGACATATTTACACCAAAAAGTCATTTGTAGTTTATGTGAAAATTCAGATTTAACTGGGTGTCCTATATTTTATCTGGGAACACTATCAAGTTCAGGGAAATTCACAGCTATTATCTTTATCAATCTTACCTTTCCTCCACCTCCAATTATAGCTGCATGACACCACCTCATTCTAGCCTCTTTCCATCTTCACATATTATATTTTCTTGTGATCATCTGGGTAAATTATTTATCTATTTCCTCAGTATTCTCTTCAGCTGAATATTATGTGCTATTGAATACATCATTTTGGCTTTAATTTTGAAGATTATATTCATTTCGTTTGTTCTTTTTCAAATCCACCTAGAATTTTTTCTCGTTTTCATTTTCAATTCCCTACTTTAATTTTTAAAATATTCTACAAACATTTGCCTTGTCATCTGTTTCTGGTAGCAGGATGCTTGCCATCTCAGAGCTCTGCGTGGCACTGGCTGCAGCTGGCTTGTCTCTGCTGGTACTTCCTCATGGTGTTGCGTTCCCTCACCTATTTTATATTTGTGCTAGTGGCTTGTGTTGGTGGCAATCATATGGGGCCCAGTCTGGGAGATACTATCCAGAAAACTTTGTTTCTACCAGGTGTTTCAGGGCACGACCAGCCTGGGATCACTTCATGTTAGCTTCTTAGTTTAAGGTGTCCCAGGTACAGGTAGCAGAATTGCAATTGCTAAGGGTAAATGAGGGTCACCCGGTAGTGACACATTCTTTGGAAATAGCTCAGAGATAGACAGCCACACTCCTTGGTGCTCTCCATCTGCCAGCAAGGAGATATTTTCTAGTTCCCTCTTTCCTTGGGGCTCTAACCTTCAGAGAGTGTCCTCTTTAAGCATGGATGCAGTTTCAATTCCCAGACAAAGCCCTTCATCCTATCCCAGCAGAGCGACTAAGGGCCAAACCTCCTGGAGACTGCAGAGCACAACAGGGCAGTCGCAGGTCAGGTTCGGGTCTGCATTCCAGCACCCTCTGGGATTTGTGGCTCCTTCCACGAACTTGCATGTTCATTTCCCAGGGTTTTTGTGATTTACTTGAGCATTCCTCAGTATTTGTAGTGGATGTTTGGGTGGGATGTCTGATCTGCCCATTGCCATGGCAGAATCAAGGCCTCTGTGGGGCATCTGCTCCTCCGTGACACAACGGACCTCCAGATGGGCCCTTGAAGCTGCTGAGACTCAGGCTGTCCTACGAATTCCTGGTTCCCAACCCTTTTTCTTTTTGTCCTAATATTTCAGCCAGCGCAGCTGTGTGTCTTGTTAGAACGTTCACCTTCACAGGCTGTCATTTAGGCTCTCACTGGGCATGTAGCAGCAAATTGGGCACTAGAGCAATTGTTCTCGAGTGACCTCCAGCAAACATTTGACAAAAGAAAAATTACACTTGCTAGTTTGTGAAGGTCATGCTGAGCGATTAATATTAACGCCAGTCTTTTGAAAAAGAAAAGTATTTACAGGTCTGTATTTTATTTTTGTTTAAAAGGCCTAAAACTTTCACTCTCAGCTGGTCCATGTAGAAGGTCTCAGTTCATTTTCCAGCAGGAATTCTAAGTTCTGTTACTATTCTTGGATATATTTGTCATACATTCAACAGTTCTGCCTATGGCTGACATTTCCAGAACAGAGTGAAGCAGACGTGCCATTGTTTCCACTCCTTCCATTTTATAGGTGCAATTGTGTGTGACGTGCATGGTTCTTATACATTAATACAAATCAGCCAAGAATCGTGCATTGATATGTACCAGACAGTGAGTGAATTCATTTGCTCTCAGCTGTTGACCCAAAGAAAAGCCCCCCGTTTCTCCAGGGTGTTCCATTAATACACAACAGGAAAACAATCTTTTACAATTTTGTGCTAAAAATCATTTTAAGGGGTAGAATATTTCCTCAGTTGTCAGGTTCTTCACTGTATTTATTTTTCTTAAATATATTTTGTGGGCTGGGCATGGTGCTCACACTAGTTATCCTGGTGCTTTGGGAGGCCACAGTGGGAGGGTCTCTTGAGGCCAGGAGTTAGAGACCACCTGGGAAACATAAACAAGACGCTGGTCCTGCAAAAAAATAAAAAATTAGCTGGGCATCGTGGCATGCTCTTGTAGTCCCAGCTACTCGGGAGGCTGAGGCAGGAGGATCACTTGAGCTCTGCGTCTGAGGCTGCAGTGAGCCATGATCACACCACTGCATGCCAGGCTAAGTGACAGAGTGAGGCCTTGACTCTAAATACACATACGCAGAGACAGACACACACACGTGTGTGTGTGTGTGTGTGTGCTGCCCCTTATCTGTCAGAAACTGCTAACAGTTGACAATACAAATAAAAAAGAAGCAAATGGATAGTAAAAGAACAAATGGAGGCCGTGTGTGGTGGCTCACGCTTGTAATCCCAGAACTTTGGGAAGCAGAGGCGGGCAAATAACTTGAAGTCAGGAGTTCCAGACCAGCTTGCCCATATGGTGAAACCCTGTCTCTACTAAAAATACAAAAATCAGCCGGGTGTGGTGGCACATGCCTGTAACCCAAGCTACTCGGGAGGCCAAGGCAGGAGAATTGCTTGAACCTCAGAGGTGGAGGCTGCAGTGAGCTGAGATCACACCACTGCACTCCAGCCTGGGCGACAGAGGGAGACTCCATCTCAATGAAAAACAGAACAAATGGAAACTCATCAATTAAGTTTAATTTGGCAGCTTTCCTTTTTTCACAAACACATCAAGCAGCTGTGCGTGTACCCCACATGCAGGCACTGTAATCACGTTCCTGTTCCTATAATGAAATAGGCACAGTGCAGCAGTATTTCAGCAGGCTCCACAGCGAGTTCCTCTGCGTCAAGGGTTCTGTCTCCAGTGCAAGGTGAAAATCACTGTTAATCATCCCTGGAGGATGCCGTAGAGGGTGAATTATGGCTCTTTCTTACGATTTATTATCCAGCTGAAAACTGCAAATCAATATGAAAATGTAAAGTTGAATGTTTACCATAGTCAGTCAAAAGCATTCAGAAGCAGAGGGCACTGACTGTGCGGTTAATAATGGACCTTTGACCTCAAACACAGGGACTCAGGCAGTCAGACAGCATATGGGAGGGAAAGGAAAATTTCAGCCAGAGATCACTTAGCAAAGTTGGGAGAATCTAAATTTTGTGTTTTAATGAGACCAAGATCATTCTGCCTCGAGCAAGACGTTCAAGTGTAAATAAAAAATGATAGAGCAGGTACAAAACTGCATGTTGAATATCGGTTCTTTATGGCGTGTGCCTTATCCTGTTCAGGCTGCCATAGCAAAATGCCACAGACTGGCTGGCTTGCCAACAACGGTGTTGGGGGCTGGAAGTCCATAATGAAGGTGCCGGCAGCTGCAATGTCTGGTGAGGGCTGCTGCCTGGTTCACAGGTGGCATCTTCTCTTTGCAGCCTCACATGGTGGAAGGGACGAGACAGCTCTCTGGGGTCCCTTTAGTAAAGGCGCTAATCCCATTCATGGGGCTCCATCCTCATGACCGCATCATCACCCAAAGGCCTCATCTCCCAACACCATTGCTTTGGGGATTAGGTTTCAACACAGGAATTTGGGGAGGGCACAGCATTCAGCCCGTAGTAGAGCAGATCGGCACCAAATATATTTAAGCAGCTAAGTGACACACAAGTGTCCTGGTTTACAAATACAAATCTACTGAATTTGCAAAGATAGGTGTGTATGTTGTTTACATCCTGGTTGAAACAGCGGAACACAGTAAATGCGCTCTCAGATGTTCACACAGTTTTTCTTCTTGAGTATCTTCATATAGTATTGAAGTCCTTAAACTTTTATTATAAGTAGGGTTGCCAGATTTAACAAATATATTGATTCAAGTCCCTCACTGAATTTGAAATATCAGATACACAGCAAGTAATTTTTGATATAAAAGTATGTTCCATGCAATATTTGAAATATACTTACGTTAAAAATTATTCATCATTTGGCCAGGTGTAGTGGCTCATGCCTGTAATCCCAGCACCCTGGGAGGCTGAGGCAGGCAGATCATCTGAGGTCAGGAGTTTGAGAGTATCTGGCCAACATGGCGAAACCCTGTCTCTCCTAAAAATACAAAAATTAGTCGGGCGTGGTGACACATGCCTGTAATCCCAGCTACTCAGGAGGCTGAGGCAGGAGAATCGCTTGAACTGGGGAGATGGAGGTTGCAGTGAGCCAAGATTGTGCCATTGCACTCCAGCCTGGGCAACAGAGTGAGACTCTGTCTCAAAAAAATAACAATAAAAATAAATTATTTATGGTTCATCGTTTATCTAAAATTCAATTATACCTGGCAACCCTAGTTATAAAGCCAGATGATTAGAAAATACTCCACAAATCTCATGAATATTTTATAGATTATTTGGATAGAACATGTTTCTAAACAGATTCAATGTAACATACACTTAAAAACTGCATTCTGCAGAAAAATTCTACCCCGATGGCTCCAAAGAAATTGTGTTTCCCGACGGGACAGTGAAACATCTCAAGGATGGACAGGAAGAGACCTTATTTCCTGATGGGACAATCGTAAGGGTGGAAAGGTCAGTAATGTCAGACAATGCGAACCCGAAACATCCCCAGTTTTTGTTTGTGTATTTAATAATTTCCTTATATTAATTTAGATTTTTGCAAACATTTAAGTGCTTGTATTAAAAAAAATAATAATAATGTCATTGACTCCAGAAGTTTTGTCTTATGGCCTTGATTTGAATCCCTTTATAGAGACTGTGAGTTTCAAATGGACTTTCAGGTATTTACTTTACTGACATTAGCTGTGTTTGAATTATAACCGTAAAAATACACTCCAGTCTTCAGTGCTCACCTCAGACCACGTGGTCTAGAAGCCCAAGTCCATTGCAGAACACGTGCAAGCAAATGTTTAAGGCACAACAAGGAAGAGCTCATCAGAGCTGCTATTTCAATGCTAGTTTGTGCAGAAAGTAAAGATCCACCCAGCTGCCCAAGGGAGGGCATGGGATGTTGTTTTAGACCTTCCCTTTCTTTCCTGATATTCAAGTGACCACTGAGTGAGCACTGTGGGCTGTGTCTCCTTGCTGCCCCACCTCCAACCTTTCTCTGAGTTCTGCAGTCTCCCGCTCTCACCATTTCTCTCCTGGGCAATTACAACAGACTCCCCCAGCTTCCTCACAGCAGTCAGAATCTTCCCTGTCACGTCCGGGGCCACTTTTCTGAAATGATTCTATGTGTGTCCCTGTCACTCCCTGTGTTAACCCTACCGTCCCTCTCACCGTCAGAGCCAGCTGTCAGCACAGGCTTCAGCCTGCAGGTGAGCAGACACGGCTGACCTCCCGCCCTGCCTCCTGGTCCTCCACACTTGCCCTCTCTCACCCACACCAAGTTTCTGCTGATGCCCTGAGCCCACCGTGCACCTTTCCTGCCACTGCCCGTGGCCTTCTGCACCCCCATCTAACGAGCTTTGGAAGAAGGGCCCCAGGTGGGGCCATTATTCGGTACTCCCCCACCCCCTACTGGCCTCCACACTAGCAGCATTGGCCCTGGCGCACACTGCCCTTCCACGTGTTTCTCTTCTCAGGAATGGCGACAAAACCATTGTGCTCAGCAACGGGCAGAAAGAAATCCACACGGCCCAGTTCAAGAGAAGGGAGTACCCAGATGGCACCATCAAGACTGTGTATTGCAGCGGCTGTCAGGAAACCAAGTACGCCTCCGGGAGGGTTAAGATCAAAGATGAAGCTGGAAACATCATCCTGGATGAGAAGCAGATGAGCCCTCAACACGCAGCGTCACATGGGAAATGCCAATTGCAGTTTTTTGCTAAAACAGACAAAAACTAATAATGTATTAGCTGTCCCAGATGATCTTGGAGAGCCACTAAACCTTTAGGACTACCCAAGCCTCTATCTAGAAATTGCAAAGAAAAGGACATTCTCTTCTCTATTTAGGAAATACGGTTAGAGCAGCACCCATCAGATAACAGAAGGCTCACAAAAGAAAGATTTCCATGCCCCCAGCAACACTGCACCCTCTTTGATCATCACAGGGGCCATTTCTGCCTTGTGATGGACCCAGGAGGTCTCTGCAGAGCAAGTGCCCTTGGACCAGCTGATTCACAAAGTGCTGAGCCCCTCTCCCCTTTATGGCCCACCCCAAGCACGGCTCATATCTCCAGCATTACAGAAGCTCAGCCTGGACAGTTCACCTCTGCTCACCGACACCCCTGTCCTCACTGGGACAAGAGGGAGACAATTCTAGTCACTACAAGGATACTCAAGTGGCGTCCAAGTCAGGTCAGGGCTCCAATAGTGCAGTTATCATGGCCTGTCACAGCCTGGGGAGCATGTTGCCTCCTGAAACTTGAGATTTTTTAAATCCCGATATAAAATGATAACCAGTTACTTACTTCTTTTGTTGTTTTGCAGGCCACCTAGAAATACAAAAGCAGACTGGCATTCATCTAATTTTTATACTGAAATGTGGATGCCCCAAACATGATTTTGGAAAGAGATAATTTCTTGAAAATCTTATCAGAAGATGCATAGTTTTTTAATTTTTTCAAGTATGTACTCATGTTTTTATGGACTACAACACCATATTTTAGTGCCAGGGATTATTTTAACCTTAATACTGTGCACGCATCATCGCAGTCCTCAATATTTGGTAATGCTATTTATAGTAACTCAAGAACCATGTGCTATCTGGCTTTGAAGGAAAAAAAGGAAGTCTACTACGATTGCAGTGGATGGAGGCCTTTTGTTTTCAGATGAATGCTAAAGCAATGCGAGGCATTTGTCAGGCATAACCGGCAAAACAAATCCATTATTAAAAAGCTATTTTGGGTTTGGCTGAAAGAATGGACTTGCCTGTTGCTTTGATTGTTTTAAATCAGCTTATACTAAAAATTGTCACTGAAGCAAACAAAATGATACACGGCTGTACTGAAAAAATGCACTTCTCATTATCTGTGGGAGATCAGGGAAGAATCAAACATGCAATTTTATCAGGAAGCCGTGCGCAGGCATCAGATCACCTGCCTGACTGGAAGTTTTCATTAAATATCATCTTGCAGTACACTCTCCAGTAGTGACGGGTGCAAAATCTGTCATCCAAATAAGATTAATTCAGTGCGCACATGGAATTAATACATTCCATGTGCGGGAAGCCCTTCATGGAATATACATTCTGCAATATTGGAAATCAGTACAAGCTTATTAAAACAACATTTCATACTGATTTGCAAAAAGTCAGAATTTACTTTTAGTTCTTAACAGTCTCCCGAAGGCTTCTTATTAGATGTACAATCTGATTATATTTATTACATTAATTTTGAGGAGGGGTCTCTATTAACCTATTTGCAGGCACATTTATGCACAAATTGTAAACAAGCACATTTACTTGTTCAAAAATGTAGCATTAAGACCATCACAAAACAATGACAGAGTATAAAGGGCTGGGAGATGGGGTGAGTCACACCCATCTGGGCCACTGTCTACTGCCACCTTGGAAAAAATCTTCAGCTGTCCCCCACTTCCTTTTCCCTAAGTGGGTGACATTTCATCCCCTGCACGGCTCAGGGATGTTGTGGGGATGGATGAGAAGGGAGCAGGACAGAGGCGTCCCGTCCATTCCACCCAGGTGCTGCTCCTGAAGGGAGTCTTGGATGGAGCCCTCCTCTCTCTGCACGTGGAGTCCTGCAGGGCTCCATGTTTTCCTAAAGAGCACAGGTCCTCTCAAAGCATGGGCCCCAAGTTTCATCGCCATCAGGTGCAGCCCCTCCCGCCTCTCCTCTCCTGCTCCCCACAGCCCACATCATGCAGAAGGCCCTCCCTTAGGTTAACCCGACTTCTTCCAACTCATCGTTCCTTCCGCAAACATTCCTTGGCTCACCCTCCCCCACCCCCAGGCTAAGGCCCCCAAGTGCTCACTGAACCTTGCACTCCTCATGTCCTCCTCACACTGTATCCCGATGACCTGCAGACCTGCCTGTCCCCACCTAGACAACACATTGAGGATGGAGCTCAGTCACCTTCACCTTCGTTCCCCAGCAGCTAGAGTGGAGAGTGGAGCCTCGGAGGCTCTGGAGTAAACGAAGAGGTGAGAATGTGGAGAGTGGCCTCGTGAACTCTGATTATTGGTGCTAAAGTGAAAGGGATTTCAACATAGAGGCTGACTCCCAAAACTGACGACTCTGTCTGATGCTCAGTTTATCAAATTCACCTTTGAAACTACCTTTTCTTGAGCACTTAAAGATTGATTCTAATTAAGTTTTCTTAATACTGCAATTATAGGTTTAGAATGGTTGATATTTTTGAACAAATACTTTATACGAGAGACAGAACCAAACAATTCAGATTATCACCGACTTCTTACAGACCTCCAATTTGAACCTACTCTACAGTATTAACCATTTTCTCATTATTCTATATTTTTTACATTTTCCTACAATTATTACTATAATTGTACAATTATTACTATAATTATTACTATATTGTATTTTACTTGTTTCCCTGCTTTAAAAAGAAAAACAGAAATCCTGTGGTTCATCTTGCTATGGGTGTGAGTGTGACAGCGGGAACTGTGTTACTGGTTATTCCTCCTCCGGCATTTTAAACTCAAGGCACTGGACATCATACTCAACCTTTATGGTTAAACCTGACATGCTACATTAGCATTCTTGTGTTTCTAATGAACGCCATTCACAGAAGTTTTAGTTTTTTGCAACCTGGGATCAGGCCACATCATGACTGTCATTGCCTTTGTGGGAGCTTTTTTCCATTAAAAAATTTAAACATGTAAGTTTTGTTACTGCATTTGTATGAAGGTGGATATATCAATCGTGTATATTAAAACATTTTCTTACACCTAAGAGTTCATTTGTTTCCTTCTGATTTTTAAGAGAAATTAAAACATTTTCATGGGCTCCTAAAAGTATCGTGGGCCCTCATGTGCCTGATGGAGATGCTGGCCCTGCCTGGCGTCCCACCTTGTATATTTGACTCTCCCCTGCCTGGTGTTCCGTCACGCGTGGTCCTGCCGTTCTGAGAGGTCAGCAGAGCTGGGGTTGGTGTTGGAAACTCTGGCATTCTTCACCTTCCGAATGAGCAGTGGCTTCCCAGAGAAGACTCATCCTGGAAAGGCAGGGTGGGGCTGCCGGGCAGCTCTCTGGACTCACGCTCGGGGGTCCTCAGCTGTCTCTGCTGTCAGGTGGCACCAACAGGATCGACTGTTATTTTTTGCTTGTGGCTCAATGCTCACTTTTTCCTAGGCTACTTGGCTTTCTTGTGGCTTCCCAGGTTTCTTATCTGCAACTGCAGATAGACAAAGTTTATATCTATACTTTAGAAGCAGACAATGGAAGGAATAAAACCACATTCCTCATTTATTCAAGGCAATAAAATTAAATGTGTCATTATATTCTTTTGTATCACAACCATCTTTGTATAAAACTTCTTTCTTCTAATATCATTTTCAATTTGTAATCAACTTACTTCAATTAACCATATTTCATTATTTTTTATTATGAGTTGATTCTCAAATGACCACAACTTTCTGTCTTTGTATCACTTCCCCTGATATCTAGGGAAGTGTCCTTGCTTGCTGGGAACACAGAGCACCTGGCAGGCTGCATTAGTTTCTGGGGCTGCTGCCTCACCTTACAGGCAGACCTTGGGGATACTGTGGATTTGGTTCCAGGCCACCACAATAAAGCTCATATTGCAACAGAACAAGTCACACAAATATTTCATTTTCCCAGTGCCTATAAAAGTTTGGTTTATGTTATACTGTAGTCTATTAAGAGTGCAATAGCATTATGTCTAAAACATGAACATATCTCAATTTAAAAATACTGTATTGTTTTAAAAAATGCTAATGATCATCTGAGCCCTCAGTGAGTTACAATTATTTTGCTGGTGGAGGGCTTTGCCTGGATGTTGATGGCTGCTGACTGATCGGGGTGGAAGTTGCTGAAGGTTGGGGTGACTGTGGCAATATCTGAAACAAGACCACAATGAAATTGACTGCATTGATTGAATCTTCCTCTCATGAAAGGTTTCTCTGTAGCATGCGATGCTGTTTGATAGCATTTTACCCACAGTATGACTTCTTTCAAAATTGGAGTCAATCCCCTCAAACCTTACCCACTGCCTCATCAACTAAGTTTACGGACTATTCTAAATCCTTTGTTGTCGTATCAATAATGTTCACAGCATCTTCACCAGGAGTCAATTCTATCTCAAGAAACCACTTTCTTTGCTCAACCATAAGAAGCCACTCCTAATCTGTTCAAATTTTATCCTGAGATTGCAGCAATTCAGCCACATTTTTAGGCCCCACTTCTAATTCTAGTCCTCTTGTTATTCCCACCTCATCTGCAGTTACTTCCTGCACTGAAGGCTTGAACCCCTTAAAATCATCCATGAGGAATGAAATCAACTTCTTCTAAACTCCTGTTAATGTTGATATTGTTTCTCCTCCCATGAATCATGAATGTTTTTAATGGCATCTAGAATGGTAAATCCTTTCTAGATGGTTTATAATTAACTTTGCCCAGATCCATCAGAAGAATCACTATCTATGGCAGTTATAGCCTTATGAGATGTATTTCTTAAGTAACAAGACTTGAAAGTTGAAATTTCTCCTTGATGCATGGGCTGCAGAATGGATGTGGTGTTAGCAGGCATGAAAGCAACATTACTCTCCTTGCACATCTCCAACAGAGCCCTTGGGTGCATTGCCAATGAACAGTAATATTTTGAAAATAGTCTTTTTTTCTGAGCAGTAGGTCTTGGTAATGGGCTCAAAATATTCAGTAAACCACTCTGTAAACAGATGTGCTGACATCCTGGCTTTTTTATTCTACTTATAGAGCAAAGACAGAGTAGATTTAGCATAATTCTTTTTTTCTTTTTTTTTTTGAGACAGAGTTCCACTCTTGTTGCCCAGGCTGGAGTGCAATGGCAAGATCTTGGCTCATCACAACCTCCACCTCCTGGGTTCAAGTGATTTTCCTGCCTCAGCCTCCCAAGTAGCTGAGATTACAGGCACCCACCACCATGCCTGGCTAATTTTTTTGTATTTTTTCTTTAGTAGAGACAGGGTTTCTCCATATGGGTCAGGCTGGTCTCAAACTCCTGACTTCTGGAGATCCACCCACCTCAGCCTCCCTATTAAGCATAATTCTTAAGGGCCCTAGGATTTTTGGAATGGTAAGTGAGATTGGCTGCAATTTTAAGTCACCAGATGCATTAGCTATTAACAACAGACATCCTGTCCTTTGAAGCTTTGAAGACAGGCATTGACTTCTCCTCTCTAGCTATGAAAGTCCTAGATGGCATCTTCTTCCAACAAAAGGCTGTTTCATCTACACTGACGACCTGTGGTTTGGTGTAGCCACCTCCATCACTTACCTTAGCTAGGTCTCTGGATAACTTGCTGCAGCTTCTCCATCAGCACTTGTTACTTCATCTTGCACTTTTAAGTTATGGACATGTTTATTTCCTTAAAATTCATGAACCAACCTCTGCCACTTTCAAACTTTTCTTCCATAGTTTTCTCACTCCTCTCAGCCTTTTTTGAATCAGCAATAAAGCTGTTTCACTTTCTTGTCATTCATGTGTTCACTAAAGCAGCACTTTTAATTTCCTTTGTTTTTCTTTGCATTCACAACCGGGCTAACTCCTGGGTGCAAAAGGCCTTGCTTTCAGCCTATCTCAACTTTGAACAGGCCTTCCGCACTAAGCTTAATCATCTCTAGCTTTCGACTTAAAATGAGGGATGTGTGTCTCTTCCTTTTACTTGAACACTTAGAGGCTGTTGTAGGTTATTAATGGTGTAATTCCACAATTGTGTCTCAGGGACTAGGGAGGTCTGAGGGGAGAGAGATGGAGGCAGCTGGTCAGTGGAGCACGTGGAACACAGGTGACATTTATTATGTTTTCCGTCTTACCTGGGTGTGGTTGTTGGTTACAAAACAATTACAAAGTAAAATCGAAGATCACTAGGTGCAGATCACCATGACAGACATAATTATAATGAAAAAATTCGAACTATTACAAGAATTACCAAAATGTGACATAGAGAGATGAAGTGAGCACAAGCTGTTAGAAAATGGGACCCATTGATGTGCCCCAACGGTGCTGCCACAGACTTTTTTTTTTTTTTTTTTTTTTTTGTATTTTTTAGTAGAGACGGGGTTTCACCAGTGCAGTATCTGCGAGGCACAACAGAGCAAGGCACAATACAACGAGGTCGGCCTGTGCGTGCAAACCCCTCACAGAGGGCTGTAAACACAATGTAGGAACGTCATGGAAAAGCCCGTTCTGAGCACGGGGCTACAGGGGGCGCTGTTGGGTAAACAGGTCATTTGGCGGCACAAAGCAGCTCACGGCCCATCTCTGAGGTAACGCGGTCAGATCTACCTTTTCAGCATGTGCCGGGCCACAAACTGGGTCACTGAAAACCGCGGAAGTTCATTCTTCGCCCCCGGACCAGGCGGGCTGCGCCCTCAGGGAGCTGAGCGGTCCCCCTGAGGCCCCTTCGCTGCCCGCGCAATTCAGCTGTGCCGACCCCAGCGCGGCGGTGCCGGGACCTGGTGTGCAGAGGAATCGTGGTGAGAAATGTGCACACGTCGTCCAGACAGACGGCCCCGTGAGTCTCCCGACAGAAAAGAGGACGGCGAGGCGGAGTCCTGAAGGCGAGGCTTGCAGAGGCGGGAGAACCAGGCAGAAGGTCACGGGCCTGCGGGGCGCCCGACGGCGACGAGGGCGGCGCCCCCCACACGCCTGCGCTCCGGGAAGGCGGAGTCTGTCAGCGCCGCCTGCGGGGTGTGGGAGCTGCGCGCTCCTTCCCTGTGGGGCGGAGCTGGCTGGAGCCGCTGCCTGAAGAAACCGGCCTGTGTCCTCCGCTCCGGGGAGGGGAACGTGGCCAGTGGAAGCCGAGTTCCTTCTGTTGCCTTCCGCAGCCCACAGCGAAGTCACTCTGAAGAGCACCTCGCAGGCCTGCGCTTCTGCTTCTCGTCGCCTTCGAGGCGGCTCTGACCCTGACACCCCTTTCCTCCTCTTGTCTCCTCGAATCCTACAGTAAGGGAAATGGGGGTCCTGTTTTGAAACAAAATGAGAAAGAACCGTAACCTTCAACTTCAAAACACTTCCAGTCTCCTGAAGATTTTTCACATTCGGAGATCTCCACCCATTTCCCAGGGTCCTTGAAATATTTCCTGGAGCCGCGCCTCTCCCTGAAACCTGGCTGGAGACAGCATTCCTTTGCGTCCTCGTGAACACCCAGTTTGGGGTGGAAGAGTCAAAAAGAAAACCCAGGAACGCCCCATCCTGTCGTTCTCATGGTCCCCCGAATCCCCGGGGCTTCCTCTCTCCGCCCCTGGTCTTCCTGCGTTTGTTTGACGGGCCCTGCCCGAGGTTTCCGGTTGCACCTGCGGGAAGGAGGAAAACGCTCGCCTGTTCCATCTTCCTAGGAGTGGAAATCTGAGGCTTTTTGAATGGCCACCGTATATTGCCTTAATTCTCCTTCACTTTCAGTGGTTTTGTCTGCCCCGCCTCAGAAAGACCGTCTGTGTTCTTTCCTCCATAGCCCAGGCACCGAAGGCACGTGCCGTGCCTATAAATTTCCTGTCTCGTCCCAGACTCTACGTGAGCTCGTTATTACTTCAGTTTAATCTGCGCACGTTTCACCCTAGGAGAGACACTGCCCAGATGTGGCAGCTTTTCCTGACAGATGGCCCGAGGCTATTCTTGCCCTAAAACTTCAAATGCTCACTTAAAACCATCCTTCCTAACAACACAGGTTTTCCCATTTCTATGAGGTTGACCTTTACACCTGAAGAGTCATCAAAACCCAGCTGGTGATAAAGAAGTGACGATTTCAAAAAACGGAGGGAGAATGGAATCTGGTCTCTGGGTTTCAAGTGATTCCAGTTGCTTGCTTTAGTCTGATCGGAATGTTTGAGCATTTGAGGAAAAGGCCCTTAACTCGATTTGCCAAACCCCAGAAAGTAGGAGCTGAACTGACATTTAAAATCAGAATAGCCTTGACGGGCTTGCATTCTTACTTATGTCCTTTAAATCTTTCCTGGAACAGGGTTGAGAGCGTGTAAATGTACAAATGCATGAAAACAGGCAATGAACAAAGTGTTCATTCCAGTCTCAGGTCTAAATTCCCTGGACCATGTTTTGTCTCTTGCCTTTTCTCTGAACTCCATGCATGTTAAGTCATTAAGTCACAGCCTTCTTTTTTTTAAGACAGACTCTCACTCTATCGCCCAGGGTGGTGCGATCTCAGCTCACTGCAACCTCTGCCTCCCAGGTTCAAGCAATTCTCCTGCATCAGCCTCTCGAGTAGCTGGGATCACAGGCGCACACCCCCAAGCCTGGCTGAGATCATAGGCTTTGTCAGCTGTACCCGCAGTCTCCCTGTGCACCCAGCCACGGTTAGCTGTCGCTGTCTTGACCCTGACAGTGACCCTTGCTGTTCGCAGTTGTGCCGTCCACTCTGCATCCCTATTTGCAACAGCTTAATCTTGCCTCTTTCAAAATAATTTCAACCAACAGTAATTGTATATATTTATTAGGTACAATGTGGAGTTTTGATGTAAGTTTGCATTGTGGAATGACTGAATCAAGATAAATAACTTATCCATTACTTTACAGGCATCATTTTTTTTGTGTGAAGAAAACATTGAAAATCTATTATTTTAGCAATTTTGAAATATATACTACATTATTATTGACTGTCATCACCATGCTATGCAATAGATCACTAGAGCTTCTTTTATTCCAGCTCTTTGGGAGGCCGAGGCAGGCAGATCACGAGGTCAGGAGTTCAAGACCATCCTAGCCAACGTGGTGAAACCCCATCTCTACTAAAAATGCAAAAATTAGCTGGGTGTGGTGGCATGTGCCTGTAGTGCCAGCCACTCAGGAGGCTGAGGCAGGAGAATGGCTTGAACCCATGAGATGGAAGTTGCAGTGAGCCGAGATGGTGCCACTGCACTCCAGCCTGGCGACAGAGCGAGACTCTGCCTCAAAAAAAAATAATAATAATAACGTGTTTAACTTTACTTCTTCATTTTTTGCTTAAAGTTTGATTATATAAAACGTAAAATTTTTTCAAGAGTTCTGCATCGCAGGACATTAAACAGTAGAAATATCTGTTCCTTCACAGATTCAAGTTATATAAATTAAATCTGTAAATTTATTCAATATGGAAAGCTAGATGATGAAATAAATTTGAAAAGGACCCAGTAGAGCAATACTGCATTGCTTATGGATTATTAGTTACTTTCAGGATCTAAACCAAGATTCTAAATATTTAGACTGCTTTCATTGTATTTTATACTTAAATATCTCTCTATCTATACTGAGTCAAGCTACTGGACCAAAATGTCTGATTTAGGGAAGCATTTCATTTTATAGCAAAAGTTTTTCCATCTACAGTTACCATCTACAATGGAATTTACATTACGGTGCGGACAAAAACCTCCTGGTTCCTTTTGAACAATGTGCAATAAATTCATTATGTCAACCCCATGGTAAGTCAAACAGGTATCAAAAAACATGGAACAATTACACATAGTTCAGTAAAGTAAAATACTAGTTTTTCTAATGTAAACATTAAGCAGTGAAATAAAACGTATCAGCTATAGTTGACTTGGTTTCAGGAAAACCACATTTGAAAATTACATTATCTTCCTCATGTCATCCGTAGTCATTGACAAGATTTTGTGGGCCACCATGCTGTGAGCTGTGTGGATGTAGCAGTAAATGAACGAAGGCAAACTTCCTCGCACTGGTCATGAACTGTGGTCCCCACTCTTTCCCATCTTCCAGGTACAACCAGATCTTTGCATAAATCATAGATCAAATGAACAAGAAAATTCAACAGTTGCAGAAATGTCACTAACTGTGCTTCATCTGATCACTGGATGAATTTTGTCCTGGATAGCTTTCTGAGGCTTTTCTCTGGGTTCACTGTCCTCCTTTCTCTGGGTGCACTGTCGTCTTTTCTCTGGGTTCACTGTCATCTTTTCTCTGGGTTACCTGTCCTCCTTTTTCTGGGTGTGCTGTCTGTTCTTTAGGTGCACCGTCATCTTTTGCAGTCTTGTCACACTCAGTATCAAAGTGCCTTCCTTCAAGGACATCACGACTTTCAATATTTGCAAGGACTGTGGCCCGTTTATGAACTGAACATTTGTATAGCCAATCCTTTGGTTGTTCGAGCACATTGTTTAGGTACTGTATGAGCATAGGATCAGTAGTTACAAGCAAGGTGAGTCTGTACTCTGCACTCCAGTGAAGGCTTCAGATGAGTATGTGCTGTGATGAAATAAAATGCTGTTGATACCAAATGGGAAGAACTCGGACAGGATTCCACATTCCTGCCAGGGTGATTCTCTGCTCCCGGGAGAGCTGCATCGCCTCGGCCAGGCCCACAGACCAAGATATATCGGCTTCCACTTGGCCAACCAAGAGCACAGCCGCTTCCCCCAGCCCCTCCCACAGCATCTCCCCACCACAGCTTCCTAGAACTTAGTTCTTCCACCTCGCTGAAACTTTGTACCCTTTGACTAGCATTTCTTCATTTGTCACGCCCACCCCCTTCCTCAGCCTCTGGTAACCAGCATTCTACTCTCTACTTCAATGAATTTAACATTTTTAGATTACACGTACAAGGGAAGCCCTGTGATATTTATTTTTCTGCCCCAGCTTACTTCACTTAGCATAATGTGTTCCAGGTTTACCCATGTTGTCACAAATGACAGGGTGTCCTTCTTTTTTAAAGGCTGAATAGTGTTTCATTGTAGATACACACCAGCCTTTCTTTATCCACTCATCTGTGGTTGGACACTTCGGTTGCTTCTGTATCTTATGGGAAATAATGATGCCAGGAACATGGGGGTGCAGACATCTCTTTGACATGTTGATTTCATTTCTCTTGGAAATGTTCCCAGAAGTGGGATTGCTGGATCATATGGTAATTCCATTTTTTGTTTCTCGAGGAACATCCACACTTTTTAAAACAATGGCTGTATTAATTTACATTACATAATTACAAAGGCTTCCTTTTCTCCATATCCCCAGCAAAACACCAAGTGTGATATCACTTCATACCTGTTAGAAGGGATATTGTAATGGATATTATAATGGATCATCTTTTTAATAATATCCATTCTAACAGGTATGAAGTGCTCTTGTAGTTTTAATTTGCATTTCCCTGGTGCTTCGTGATATTGAGCATTTTTTCATGTGTCTCTTGGCCATACGTATGTTTTCTTTTGAGAATGTCTATTCAGGTCCTTTGCTGGTATCTGAATTTTTAAATGTATTTTTGAAACTAGCTCCTTATCACATACAGAGTTTACAAATATTTCCTCCCAGCCTATGGGTTGCGTCTCCCCTCTGTTGTTTCCTTTGCTGTGTAGGCGCTTTTTAGTTTGATCTAATCCCATTTATTTTTGCTTTTCTTACCTAGGCTTTTGGGGTGATATCCAAGAAATCATTGCCAGACCAGTGTTGTGCAGCTTCTTCCTTATGTTTTGTTCTAGTAGTTGCACAGTTTCAGGTCTTTTGTTTGGGCCTCTAATCCATTTTGAGTTGATTTTTGTATATGGTGTGAATAAAAGATCCAGTTTCATCTTTCTGCACTTAGTTTTCCCAGCACCAGTTACTGAAGAGACTGCTCTTTCCTATTGTGTGTTCTTGACACCTCAGTCAAAGATCAATTCCCCGTAAATACGTGGCTTGATTTCTGGCCTCTCTATCCTGTCCCACTGGTCGATGTGTATGTGTTCATGCGAACACTATGCTGGTTTGGTTAGTCTAGCTTTGTAATCTGTTTTGAAAACAAATAGTGCTATGCTTCTAGCTCTGTTCTCTATGTTCAGGATTGCTGTGGTTATTTGGGGTCTTTTGTGGTTCCATACAAACTTTAGGATTGTGTTTTCTATTTCTATGAAAAATGATATTGGGATTTTTCGATAGGAATTGTGTTGAATCTGTAGATTGCTTTGGATAGTACAGACATTTTAACAATGTTCATTCTTACAGTTTATGAACACAGGATAATCTTTTAATATGTGTCATATTCAATTTCTTGCATCACATTTTATAGTTTTCCGTATACATATTTTTCACCTCTGGTTAAATTTACTGCTAAGTATTTTTATTGTTTTGATGTTATTGTTAATGGGATTGTTTTCTTAACTTCTTTTTTATATGGTGTGTTGTTAGTGTGTAGAAATGCAACTGCTTTTTGCTTGTTGATTTTATATCCTGCAACTTTACTGAATTTGTTTGAGTTTGCAACAGTCTGGGGTGGGATCGCTAGTGTTTTCTATGTATAAGATTATGTCATCAACAAACAGAGACAATTTCATTTCTTTCTTTCTTATTTGTATGCTTTGTTTTCTTTTCTTAATACTGGCTAGGACTTCCAGTATTATGTTTAGCAGAAGTGGTGAAAGCAGGTATCCTCATGTTGTTCCTGACCTTAGAGGAAAAGCTTTCAACATTTCACTATTGAGTATGATGTGAGCCACAGTCTTGCCATATGCGGTCTTTATTGTGTTGAGGTACCTGCTTTGATTCTACTTTGCTGAGAATTTTTATCATGAAAGGTTTTTGAATTTGTCAAATCCTTTTGCGTGTGTCTATCAAGATGACCAAATGATTTTTGCCCTTCGTTCTGTTAATATGGGGTATTATATTTATTAATTTGCCTATGTTGAACCATCCTCAGATCCCAGGGGAAAATCTACTTGATTCTGATCCTTTGAAGAGCTGTTGAATTCAGTTTGCTAGTATTTTGTTGAGGATTTTTGCATCTGTTCATCAGAGATATTGGGCTATAATTTTCTTTCTTGTAGTGTCCTTATCTGGCCTTGTAAAATGAGTTTGGAAGTATTTTCTTTTCCTCAGGTTTTTGGAATAATTGAGGAGCACTGGTAATTGTTCTTCTCTAAATATTTGGTAGAATTTAGAAGTGAAGTCATCAGGTCCTGGACTTTTCTTTAATGAGTGACTTTCTATTATGGATTCAATCTCCTTACTTATTGGTCTATTCAGGCTTTCCATTTCTTCATGATTAAGTCTTGGTAGGTTGTATGTGTCTAGAAATTTATCCATTTCTCTTAGATTATCCAATTATTTGGAATATAATTATTCACAATAGTCTCTTATGATTATTTGTATTTCTATGGTGTCAATTGCAATGTCTCCTCTTTCATTTCTGATTTTATTGTCATCTTTTTTTTTTTCCTCATTTGGTGAAAGGTTTAACAATCTTTTTATGGTTTTAAAAATCCAAGTAGTTTCATTGTTCTTTTCTATTGTTTTTCTAGTGTCTATTTCATTTATTTCTGCTCTGGTTTTTATTTCCTTTCTTCTCCTGACTTTGGGTTGAGTTTATTCTTCTAGTTCCCTGAAATACATTGTTCAGATGTTTATTTGAGATTTTTTTTATATGGGCATTTAATGGTATAAACTTTTCTTTTATAACTTCTTTTGCTGCATCCCATAAATTTTGTTACATTGTGTTTCCATTTTCATTTGTCTCAAGATATTTTTAAATTTCCTTCTTAATTTCTTCTTTGACTCAGTGGTTGTTCAGGAGCATATTGCTTAATTTCCACATATTTGTGATTTTTAAAAAAAAATTCATCCTGTTTTTGATGTCTATTTTTATTCCACTGTGGTCAGAAAAGAAACCTGATATGAATCCAGTCTTCTAAAAGTTGCCAAGACTTGCTTTGTGGCCTAACCTATGATCTATCCTGGAGAATGTTCTGTACATGACTGTTAGGTCCAATGTGAGGTCCAAGCCCAATGTTTCCTTATTGATTTTCTGTCTGGATGATCTGTCTGCTGTTGAAAGCCAGGTATTGAAGCCCTCCTGCTGCTACCATATTGCATTCTATGTCTCCCTTCAGATTGATTATTATTGGCTTTACATATTTAGGTGGCCCAAAGTTGGGTGCATAGACTTTAAAATTGTAACATGCTCTTGATGAATAGACCCTTTTATTATTACGTAAGGACCACCTTTGTCTCTTTTTACAGTTACTGACTTAAAGTCTGTTTTGTCAGATATAAGGAGAGCCATTTTTGCTCTCTTTTGTTTCCATTTGCCTGAAATATCTTTTTCCATCCCTTCACTTCCAGTCTACCTAAACCATCTGCCAAGGAGTCCAGGAGAAGTCATGCACAGCAGTGCCTCAGCAGGCAGGTCCACCAACCTGGTCCCAGCTGTGGACCTGAAAATTACCCTGTGCCTTGGCATCAGTCCCCATCAGCTGTGGTTCCACGTTAATTCTGCTCCCACGAGGACCCAGAGACAGACTCACCCATCTGAAACACCCAGAGGCTTGCAGAGGGTGTTGTTCCACAGCAGATGTTGACGGGACCCTCTCTTGGCTCTAGGCCCTCTCAGCTGTGACCCAGGAGCCCTCTTACCAACACAGGGGCCTGCTGGGAGACTCGCCGGTCTAGGCCACCCAGGATAGGGTTGCTGGCCTCCATCCCATTGCAGAGCCTGAACAAGCCGTGAATGCTGACTCCAGCCCCACTCTACTGCCACCCAGGAGAAGTTCCAGTCACATAGGCAACTGCTGGAGTCTCACCCACCAGTGCCCCTGGGTGGAGCTTAATGAACTTGAACCCTTGCAGATCCTGACACAGCCCTGGGGCTTAGGTCTAGCCCTTCCTTCCAGGCTATGGTCTGGGAGAGTTCTGCCCAGCCAGGGTTCTGCCAGGAGACACACCATTCCGTCCCCGGAGTAGGCTTGCCAACCTCTGTCCTACGGTAGATCCTCAAAGGACCCTGGACCTTGGTCCTGGCCCCTCCTGCCTGCAGACTGAGAATGGTTCTGTCCACCTGGGGACTCTAGAGGCATGCATCCAGCAGTGCCCCTGCAGGCTGACTTCTGACGTTGGTCCACGGTGGGTCTCCTCAAATGGCTCTTCTCAGCTATGACCCGCGAGCAGGCCTGCGCACCCAGGAACCTGCTGGGAGATACGCCTGTCTGCGCTTCCCCATCCCCACCTTTTTTTTTTATTTAAAAAAAATTGTTTTCTTTTTTTTTTTTTTAAGTAAGAAGATTCTTGTTATGTTGCCCAAACTGGTCTTAAACACCTGGGCTCAAGAGATCCTCCCACCTTGTCCTTCTAAAATGCTGGGATCAAAGGTATGAGCCACCACGGCCAACTTTTAACTTTTTTATTGTGGTAAAACACACACAACATAAAATGTACCATTAGTGACATTTAGTGAATTCCCCATATTGTACAACCATCACCTCTATATAGTCCCAGAACATTTTCATCACCCCAAAGGGAAGCCCCCTACACATTAGCAGGCACTCCTCATTACCCCTCCCCTAAACCACCAATCTGCTTTCGATGGATTTGCCAATTCTGACATTCCATATCAACGGAGTCATACAACATGTGGCCTTTGTGTCTGACTACTTTCACTAGAATAATGTTTTCAAGTAACCTACTGGAATTTTTATGTATGTGGCAGGAATTACAGCATACTTTGATCGGGGAGGCTGTGACCTCGCATGCTGTGATGGTAACCAAATGGTGACAAGGCCAAGGGGGCCACTATTTAAATACAGCGGAAGGATGCCCCCACAGGGAGCTCTTCGGTACCAAGCCTGATTTAGAGCCCAGGATTTGTAAACAACAGGGTCATTAGGGCTTTCAGTGATTTATCTCACTCTGAATGATTGTCTGATCTTTAAGTTAACAAAATAATTTTCACAAATAAATGGTTGATTAAAAAAAACACAGAAAGTTAACTCCTGGCCTCTTTTGTACTGTTTTCACCTAATAATCCTTTAAAAATATTAGAATAATCTTTTTCTCCTGTTTAAATACATACATAGCATAATCGTAGCGTAGCATATTCAATTACCGGTAGGAGGCTGTGTGGCATTTGTAGAATTCTTTCAAGACACCTGAGCAAATAAACATGTGATGTAGTGTAGTTTAATCACCACTTGAACATATTGTGCTTTGTCAGAGCTGTTATATTTATACATACAGCCACATCTTCAGTTCCAATGACATAGTTAACATGCTGGTGGCACAGGTTAGGAACTTGAACTATTGCTTTCTCTAGGATAGGAATCCTTGGTTTTTAAAAATCCATGTCACTTTTCCTTGATTTTATTTTTTACCACTTGGGAATGTTGCTTATTCATTAGTTTCTGGAGCTCTTGGATTATTCTTTTGACATTTAATCCATTTCTGGAAGCTCCGAGAGTCGCTTCATTGAAAGGAAAAACAAGAACAAAGTTGCCTGCTTGGGGATCTGGAGCTTTGCCGTGGTCTGAGAGGACACGCGGGGAGGTCTTGGTCTTGCAGGAGTGCGACTGGAAGAGGGACGCGTAGGGCATGAGTGTCTTGTGAGGCGTGTGCCTGCTCCGTCTCTTGGGCTTGCTTTGTGCCATCTCCTTTGTTGACAGATGAAAGTCCTCCTGCCCACTCATCTCTCCTTCCAGCTGGGAGGCAGGTGCAGCTTTAGGATGCACACTCACAGCTTTCTCCACCACAGAGTCATGCTTGTTGTACATTCTGCTTGTGAATGAAAGAGACTCATAAGGAAGACAGTCATGAGCATCAAGCCCACCTCTGTCACTTTTTGCAGCGTCGATGTTGGAATTTCTATGTGTGGTGTTACTGGCTTCTCTCCCCTCATTTCTTAGACCGTTTAAGTAAATCAGGTCAATAATATCGTGGACAAGTTTTCTCTTCAACACATCTGTTGAACAATCCAAGGTCAAGGCTGGGCTGCAGTTGACCTCTAAAAGCCATGGTTTCAAGCTGTCGTCAATCAAAATATCAAACCCAAAGAGCTCAAAGCAATTGGCAGCAGAGGGGACGGAGGGCGCAATGGCGAGAATGGTGAGAATAACCATGCGGTGGATTTTCTTCCACAAAAGCAGATCGTCCACATCCCAGCTACGGAGGTAGGAAAAAAATCTGCTGAGCGTCCACTTACAACCATGACCAATCACTTCTTTGATCTTCTCATAAGAGGCCCCGGATTTATTAATGCTGCTGTTGGTCAAATGGGCGTAATTGTTTTGCAGGTTACTGAGGTCAAACTTTTCCGTAGCAAACCGAACCAACCCTTCCTGATAAACATAAATGGTCAAAGGCTTAAAGCCGGTAACACAAACGTAGATGCGGAGATCACACTTATATCTGCCAATCAGTAAAGGGTTGGAGATATATTTCTGCACTATGTACATATCATCAACGATGAAGTCTTTGAAGTCACTGAAAATTAGTATCCCCCTCCCACGAGATAACTCAGCAGGCTTGCAAATCCAATAGCTACGCTTGGTGCCCAGCATCTGCCTCTCCTGAAAGTATTCAGCCACAAACTTGGTGTAGTCATTGGGCATGACGAAGGTCAGGGGGATGAACTGGTACAGGGAAGTGCCGTACATCCTCCTCATATGCTTCAGGTGTTTGGCCAAACAGTCTTTCCTGGTAAGCTTGGTGGTTCCAGGGTGGTGGTTTAGCTGCTGCCACGGTTTAACATTGATGTGTTCGGTCATTCGGAAAGAGGACGTCCTCCAGTACAGGTTCCAGTCCTCCGCATTCTGCTCCTGCTCGTCAAACTTATTCCACCCCCGCTCCAGGAGGACGCTTTGCACCACAGGCGGGGTGGTCTCGTCAACACGAAAAACCAGTGGCTTCAAGAGGGCCCCTGAAGATTCATCTTCCTCCATCAATTGAGGTTTTCTTTTCTAAAAATGAATCATTGAGAAAAGTTAGGAGAGTGGTCAAGACCATAACCCAGTAGATTTTTCTGATGAAAGCATGCACCTAGTGCTGCCAGCTGTCCTGCCTGCCCACCCTCCACTGTGCAGTCTCACTGGACACCCACGTCTCTTCACCAATGCACCCATCTCTGCTCCCTTTATTAGACTAAATCCATCTTGTCCTGTATACAACATATTGTATACATAGTATTGTATACAACAATAATATCTTTTTTTTTTTTTTTTTGAGACGGAGTCTCGCTCTGTCGCCCAGGCTGGAGTACAGTGGCCCGATCTCAGCTCACTGCAAGCTCCGCCTCCCGGGTTCACGCCGTTCTCCTGCCTCAGCCTCCCGAGTAGCTGGGACTACAGGCTCCCACCACCTCGCCCGGCTAGTTTTTTGTATTTTTTAGTGGAGACGGGGTTTCACTGTGTCAGCCAGGATGGTCTTGATCTCCTGACCTCATGATCCGCCCCTCTCGGCCTCCCAAAGTGCTGGGATTACAGGCTTGAGCCACCGCACCCAGCCAACAATAATATCTTATAATCTATGCAAACAATAAAATCTGTATTCTTCAGATTTTACCCTGCTATTGCATTGTGTTAGTAACATGCTAAAAATGTTTGCAAATACTCCATCAGACTTTTGAGCACTGAGTCCCTGCAGACCCATATCTGTGGCATATCCTGTTGGCCTAAAAAGTGAGGATGATTAAGAACAAAACACGAATGTCAACTTTTATTTAGTTAAATGAATTCAAGTACGTTACAAGAGGTGTGAAACAATGACATCATAACATTAGTAAGAGTTCTATTAGCCTGAGAAATTTAAGAAGGCCAGGCATCTGCCGTGGTTCCCCAAGTACCCTCCTGACCCGTCAGGCCCACTGGAGGGGTTTCGGTGCGCAGAGGCTTGCGTCACTCAAATAAAGTGGTTATTAGTGAGAAGGAGAGTCGAAAAGAACAACTTAAGTTTTTAAAACCTATTCAGTTAAAATAATAATGTGGAGATTTTGCCTCACATTTTAAAAGATAAAACGCAGATTTGAAATATTCTTTTGAACTTCGAAGAAGGAAAGCAGAATAATTCTTAAGAAGATCATAACTGATGATGAAGTGTGATGTTTCATTAAGATCTAGAGAAAAGGTAAAAAATGTCAAAGCCTCTTGGTAAAAATGTACGTATTTCAAAGTCCTGAGACAATGTGCTCATCGAAATTTTCAAGTTAAGGTGATTTTGATTTGTACTGTTCATGCAAAATTGATCACATAATGATATAAATAACTTACTTGGCGGAAATTCTATAGTATTTGAAAATTTCTGATTGATATAAAAAGCATGTTTTGACAGATGCTGTACTTTCAGTGAAGATTTCACAAGAAAGGAAGGAGGGAGGAAGGGAAGGAAGGAAGGAGGATATGAGGGAAGGAAAGAGTAGAAAAGGAGGAAGGATGGAGGGCAGGAAGGAGGGAGGGAAGGAAGGAGAGGAGGAAAGAAAAAGAAAAAGGAAGAGGGGAGGGGAAAAAAGGAGGAAAGGAAGGAGGAAAGGAGGGAAGGAAGGAAGGAAGGAACTACCTGGCTTGCCCACCCACCTTTTTCTCCAGTGTTGATGTTGGGCGGCCTCGCCAGGGAGGGATGGAGACACCTGCTTCCTGTAACCTTGCTCCCAGGCCTGCAGGCAGCTGCTCAGTGTAGTTTGCCTCGGATGGAACGTTAAGGGTACAGGCTGGGGTGGTGGTTCTCAAAGATCTGTGAACAAAGCAGCATCAACAATGAACACACAGTTCTCCAGTGTTGCTGTTGCTTTGACAAGGAACATACAGAATTGATCAATCCATCATGGTTATTAAAATTCAATCGTCCCAGTTTACAGTAATGCTTTCAAACTCTTTTCCATGCTATTAATAAGTGTTTCAAGCAGAGTGTGTGTGTGTATGTGACTATGTTGTGCCTGTTGAGTGTGTTTGTTGTTTCTGTATTGTCTGTGCATGTTGTGTGTATTGTGTGTTTTGTGTGCTTGTTGTGTGTATTGTGTCACATGTGGTATGTGTTGTATGTTGTGTGTTGTGAGTGTATTGTGTGTTGCATATGGCATGCATGTGTGTCGTGTGTTGTGTTGCATCTAGCATGTATGTGTGCTTTGTGTTGTGTGTATGTTGTATGAGTAGTGTGTGTTGCTTGTGATGTATGTATGTTGTGTGTGTTGTGTGTTGCATGTGGTATGCATAGGTTTGTGTGTTGTATGTGCTGTGTGTTTATGTTGTGTGTGTATTGTGTATTGTGTTGTATGCATCGTGTGTGTGTCATGTGTTGTATGTGGTGTGTGTTATGTTTGTGCTATTTGTTGTATGTTTTATGTTGTGTATGAGTGTGTTGTATTGCATGTGGTGTGTTGTATGTGCTATGTCTGCTGTGTGTGTATATGTGAATGTGTATTCTGTGTTATATGTGGTATGTACATGTGTTGTGTTTCATGTGTTGTGTGTGTTGTATGTGCTGTGTGTGTATGTTGTGTGTGTTGTGCGTATGCTGCTTATATTGTGTGTATGTTTTGTGTTGTGTGTGTGTTGTGGGTATGTACTGTGTGCATGTTATGCATGTGTTGTGTGTGGTGTGTTGCATGTCTGTGTGTTGTATGTTGTGTATGTTATCTGTGTGTATGTGTTTTGTGTGTGCTGTGTGTGTATGTGTGGGCATGTGTGGGTAGGAGGAAATCCAGAGTGGAATAACCATGGATATTGGATTAAACAAAGTTAAAAATGTATTTTTTCTATCGCCAAGAAATACGCTGTTTTCCAGACTTATCTGATCACAGCTCCCTCTTGAATCTTGTGGAAGCTCAGTCGCCATTTCACAAATCAATGTGGGGACACCGCGCCAGGCTGCAGACTGAATGTCGTGCAGTCTCTGGCACCCCCACCTTTTCCTATCCTTGAGAACGTCGCATCAGAGGCTCTAGAGACCTGGCGCACCCTGGCCTGAGCCCTGCTTCCCCTGGAATTGGCTCCTGG